TTTTTTTCTTGTTGATAGTCAACGATATAGTAAAGCGAACTACAATAGTATCTATTTTTTCGTCATTTTTATTGGATCTATTTCAATAACAAGCATGAATATCTTTTTTCTAAATAGAGAGCTAAGAATCTCTTAAATGTATATCACTATGTACATTTCATTACCAAAGATAATTATTTATTAAAGAAAATTTGTGAATATATATAGAATTAAGGCAATGATGAGACATTTCAACAACAGAATCATTCATACTTACATCGTACATTTTAAAGTTGGATATCATCTGGTCAGTCATTTATATTTTTAAATCATACTTGTCAAACAAGATAGTTATGAGATATGTCATAGTCCCAGGAGAAGGTGCAAAACGAAAAGTAATTAAACGAGTAAATTGTGTCAAACTTTTCATTGGACGCGAATTTAACTATTAATGAAATTAACAAATAGAACTTGTAAAATGTTCTTAACATTTCATTGAAACAGAATTTTCTTTGTCGAGACATACAATTTTGTAAAACTGATCACGTAACACAAGTATTATGTGCGAAGTTCATCTTCTGATAAGTGTAATATACTATGTAAGATTGATTTCTATGAAGACTTTCAAAGAATAATAATAATCACGGTATTTATATATGAACAATTTTTAAATTGAAATTTCTGCTATAATTTGTTTTCACGAGTATATCTGCAACATTTACAGTAAGCCATTACAAAGACTATGATCGGAAATCCTGACTTTTATCACAGAAACTTGGGTATCTTGAATTTGAACTATCAAAAAATGTGAATGCCCTTTTTTTGATTATTCAATATAATCATATAAGAAAGGATTGCGCTCGCTAAGCGATGAAACTGACTCTTTCTCGACGTTGAGTTTTTTGTTTAGCATCAAAGTCGATTCATACGACAGGAGCGAATCGCAGCTCAAATTGTACAGTCAAATCTCGTTCCAAATGTGGTGTTCTTCAGCACTCTGAATTTGAATTATATTATATCAAAGAACAGCTCTTTCTGTTATCCATTGAACATCTATAGCGGCTGGTGATATGTTACATCTACCGACCAATAATACGAGTCCGCTACTCGATCAGCTATTCATCATTACTGATTAGAAATCTGATATATACTCGCGTTAGTATGTCAAAATTACATTTTATATTGTTTAATTGAAATTGATGGTTTAATATATGTTTTGTTGTAAATTTTAGGCTTTTTATATTCATAATTTTGCATAAATTGAACTAATGAATTAATAACAGAAATGCTTTATCGTCTTTTACGGCAAAATCACCTTTATGAATTGTTCATGCTACTGTGATCATTGTATGTACAGATAGCCCTTGAGCAGTGCTAAGTTCTTTGTTCCAACATCAAGTCTGAATTTTGTACTTCGAGTAATATCAACATCTTTTCTTCGAATTTTTATCGAAACGCCATGTATTTTTCATTAGATGATCAAATGCGAACAATTATATAGCTGTCGTGATTGAATGAAGCCGAACTTCCTAATCTGGCCATACAATTAACTCATTAAAAAGAGTGAAGATAGGAATGAAGACTGATAAAAAAATTATACAAGACAATAGATTTTGAGCTGAGAAATCCAGTTATATAACTTTTTTATCGTAACAAAATAGAGTTCCTGATTAAACAACTTTTTCTGAGCACTACCTACGAATCCGCCGCAGTATTGATTAAATTAGGTCAAAACATACTTGAAATGATTGAATTCAGGCAGCAAAAGAACCAGTAGAAGTATCGATTTATGTGTTTTTGCCATTAGTAATACTTATAAAGAACTATTTACTTTTCGCTTCGCTGAAAAAATTGACAAAAATGTAAAGCAACAATGAGTCTATCTCAGAAACTAAAAATGAGTTCAAACGAACCTCTTACAACAAAGATATAACCTTTATTCTAAAAAGAACTGAAATTGGTGATCGAATAACAACTAAGCACTCTAAATGTAACTGAATACCGGCGATACTATAAAATTTTTAAAATGCGACGGAGTTAATTTATCATCATAACTCCGTAACCAGTCTACTTCCATCGTAAGTACACTTACAGCACAATTATACTAAGAGAAACCCAATGACAACGTAATTATATATTTATTTGTTTTATCTTACAACAGGACATGGAACATTAGTACACCACTGATTAGAAGCATAACACAATAAGTAGTACTCGTCACTATTTTAGTTATTTACGACGAATAATTCTTTGATGCATAGTACATTCGACAAATAATCATTTGATCAACGATTTTCAACATAATTCGAAAACATGAAGTTATCTCTCCAATATTGAATTATAACTACTATATGTGATCCAGTGCAGAGCATTTGAGCTTTTTCTAATAACAAGAATTGAGAATTTTAATTCAAAATTTAGATGATTTATTTGCAGAAAATTCACGCTTTCATATTATATGACCAGAAATATGCTAAGAAGGTTCCTTTTATTTTCTTAGCGTAACTTTTTCATCTTTTTCCACACCTATTAGAACAAAGAAAGAAAAGTCAAAATCTAGTAATACGATTTGATGTTTTGCCATAAATTCAAAATGCAGATAGTTGCTTTATGAATTCATCATTTCGTCATGTCAAAAAATGATACGTATTTTATTTAGATTCACAACTAATGTGTAAAAAACCTAGATGATTTGTACAATATAGTTGACGAATAGTATGATGAATATGGTATGGACAAGATATGACAACTATTTTCATTCGTTTCTCTTGTGCACAAGTATGATTCAGCTTTGTAAGATAATGATGATATTTTCTGAAATTCGAGAAACATTAAACGATCAGTTTGAAAAGATTCTAAGCTAGCTATAATCTACTTGTTGAGCTCATCTTATCAGATCTTATTTAGACGAACAACATTTAGTTGTAGAATTTCTTCCTTTTCAAAAAATATACATTTCAAAGATGATTATAGATTCATTTGTTTTTCATAAACTTCAAACTTCATTTTGAATAGAGACCTGGTGAAATATTTATCGAAAAACAAAAACATTAGAAAATCTGCATGAGCATTGACTTATTATACTTTCTATTCAATATTTTTGTTTTGCTAACGTGTGTTACATTCGAAAATAAGCAAAAGAAAAAAACAATTATTTATAGTGTATTTATGTATAATATTTCACTTGTCACGTATTTGTCATGAAGTACAACCATGTTAGCATATAGAAGACATCTATATCATAAAATAAATTTTCTTCAGTAAGCGATCGTACTCACAAAAGAAAATATGAAATACTTTTAGAATTCAATAATATTAATTTATTAGTATTTTATCATGAGTTAGCTATTTGATTATGATACAAAATGGAACAATAGTTCAATGAATGTCAATTATTTACTGCAATATTGTTGTTAAAATTATTGAAAAATATTGATTAATCATCACACAAAGTCATATCAAACTTTGATTCATGCAAATAAGAAATAACTATAAAACAGAACGAAACATTTATTATGATATTATATATAACTTTTGCATTTAAACAGGACTATCATTTGTTTTTTTTTCCAGATATTTAATCAAGAGATACAGTAAGATATGAATAAAATACTTTCGAAATGTTCTTTTCCATAATAATATGACTTAATCTCATTCAATCAAGTTTTCGAATTATCTATTCATGTAATTCCAAGGCGGACATGTAGATGTTCATTCAATCTAGTATCAATAAGACGTATATTGTAGGTGAAGAAAATGCTAGTGAAGTAAGTTCGGGATGAGCTGTTCCAATTATCTATCACAGCATCTCAGTTTATTATCTATGCAGGATCGACTCTTGTATGATCTGGTACTCAAAATCGAAGTGTAGCACAGATAATTGCTCATCCTAACTATGACTCAACCACGTATATAAATGACGTAGCACTGTTAAGACTTACTCCTTCATTGATCATGAGTGTTCCTAATATCAGTCCAATATGTGTACCATTGATTAATTCAACAATATTGGCATCTAATGAATTTCAAACGAATGGAATAACTGTACAACACTGATATTTTTTGAAAACTCATACTTAATATCTGTTAATAGGTTGTAGCGATTCGATGGAGCAGACTATCCGACTATAGTCAAATCGCCACAATTCTACAACAAGTTGCTTTAATAACTGTAGAGTACAAATCATTAACTTGTAGTTCATTGATAGTTAAGCAGAATATACAATTTTGTGATGGGGTATCCGAGGTGTGACAAAGGTTTGTATCCAAATTCTTACCTTTTTTTCGTTTTATATTTCAGGATATCGATTATCTCTATCACTAGATACATGTCAAGATGATTCAGGTAGTTCGCTGATGATGTTCACATCATGAGTGAACCAATGAATATTGATTGGTCTCACAAGCTTTAGTTATGGTTATGCTAGTCTATCATATGTTAGTGGTTATAGTCGTGTAGCTGCTTATGAAAGTTGGATAAGATCAAATACAAATGACTCTTATTGGTCTGTGATACTTTCATATGTGCGTTTAATAAAATTAATAATATATAGTTAGTTATTTTTCGTACTGCTTATTTTTCTAGTTAAATTACATTCTTGAATAAAAATGGAATTTAACTTAATTTATTTTTATTTTTGTTACTCCGAAAACACTCTTTTATTGAAAATTTTCTTTTGATTTCATCTTTAATATTTTCTCTTTCTATTGTGTGTTTTTGAACAATCGAAGGGATGCAAACATTCATAATTTTTGTTTTGTAAACTATATCTTATATGTCATACAAAATAGCTTCAATCTTTTACATTATTTTTATTTCTCTTGTGTATGGTCTTGTGGCTTCACATTAAGAAGACCAAAGAAACATCCAAGTCATTGATAAGCGCATTGATTTATTAAGTTTATAACAGTTTTTAATATTTTATTGAAAATCTACTTTTCAAATATGTTAAATTGTACTTGCTAATAACATTAAAACTTTTGAGAAAGACACTCCACGAACAATACGATGCAATGTTAAAAGGCGCAAATATGCAATTTTTTGCTTCTATTAAAATACACAAATATTGCATATTATCGAATATATCAATAACAGTGATTTGAAAGCGAATCTTTTTATTGCTAATTCTTATAATGATACATCTTTAAGCGACTTATCGATAACTAATAAATATTTGTTAACTTTGTCAATGAATGAATATTCATTGACAAAGTCGACTGATGAGTGCATTGGTCAAATGATCGGTTAGTCTCATTTGATACGTTTGTTTTTTTTCTAATACAATCTTTCGTGTTTTCTGATTAGGAGAAGATTCTTAAAGACAAATTATGCAATTGAAATAATCTTGCTTTTGTATAATCAATTAGAACAACTGTAAAACTTACAAAGACAATGTTATAGTTAATCAGTTAGCATTCTTATATTGTTACATTAAAACTATATCGGTCTTCTGTTTAATAATGACTTCTTATAGAAGTGCACTTTATAACCGAAGTGGTTTCTCTTTTTTTCTTATGACAATTTTGATATCAGCAGATTTCATGTGTTCACCTTGGAAAAACATTCAAAATTTTATTGACTTTAAAGGATAGAAATTTAAACAATGAAAGAAAAGAGAAATTTTATATTCACTTTCCATATTTTTTTGGTTGAAGATGTTTCTTTGTGTCTCATTGATCAAGTTTTTGCTTTATTCATTCAAATGATTTCTTTGAAATTCATAATTTAGAGAAAAAAAAGTATTTGTTTTTGCTTTAGACTTATTATTTCTGTTTTTTGTTCTATCCAGAATAAACATTAAAAAAGTTTCTTTTTGAAAAAAGTGATTCAAAGAGTTGCAATCGTGATGTTGTTTTTTTTTTGCTTACTTCCTAGTAGTGCCAATCAAAATCGAAAAAAGAAAAACAGAACGTTGCTCGCGGCAATGTACTTTTTTTTGAATATGATTTCGTTAAATGATTCAAACCACCCACCTTAAAAAATAGAACTTAATCATATGAATGTTCCAGTAGGATGAAATGAGCATGTTTCCATATAGGTGAGATTTTTTTTGACAGTCATGCAAATCAAGATTTGAAAAGGTTTGGAATAGAAGAATGAAAATATTTCAAAACAAAATAGTCGAATACAATAAATTAATAAGTTTAATGTGATTCATTTCAGATTTTGATATTTGATCATTCGAAGAATTCACAATGATACGATATGGTCATATTCTACAATTTTTTATATTAGTTTTATTCACTATCATCAGATCAACGCATCAAACTGTTTATACATGTAATGCAAGTGCATCATGTGGTTGTTCAACGAATTCGGCAACAGTCAGTCGTATTGTTGGTGGAGAAGATGCAAGTTCAGCTACATGGGGTTGGGCTGTCTCAATCTCTATAGCTAATAGTTATCTTTGTGGTGGATCGATCGTATCAAAATCATGGGTTATCACAGCAGCACACTGTACAGAAGGTTTTACAGCATCCCAACTTACTATCTACGCTGGATCAAATACTCGATGGACTGGGACTCAAACTCGAACAGTATCAAATATTTATACGCATCCAAGCTATAATTCGAGAACTTATGTGAATGATATTGCTGCGCTCAAACTTGCTTCTCCATTGGATATGAGTGATCCTTATGTGAGTTCTATTTGTTTACCATCAGTTAGTCAGGCAACACTATCAGCTGGTGAATGGCCACCAGTTGGAACAAATGTAAGTGTTCTCTTGTCTTCAAAATTGATTCTTATGATATTTATTACTAGGTTGTAGCTGTTGGATGGGGTAGATTAAGTGAAGGTGGTTCATTACCATCAACACTGCAGCAAGTTACCGTACAAACTATAGATTATTTAGCATCGACTTGTAGTCAAACGATGGCTGATTGGTATTTACAATTTTGTGCAGGTGTATCAGGCGGTGGCAAAGGTAACTTTATTTGGCTGTCTCTTTCTTTTTGTACATTTTTTTTCTCATCGCTTTTGTAGATACTTGTCAAGGTGATTCAGGTGGTCCTTTGATGATGTTTAATGGAAGCAATCAATGGGTATTAGTCGGTGTGACAAGTAGTGGTATTGGCTGTGCACGAGCTACATATTCAGGAATGTATACCCGAGTTGCTGCATATCAAGAATGGATACAGTCATACACGGATGCTGCTCATGACAACAAAGTATCAATGTATCAATTGTTGTTTCTTCTTGTAATATCTAGCTTTATTTATATGATACTGTCAACATAAAGTCCGAAATTTTCTTATGTACAGCTTGAGTTTTCGTTGAACTGAACAAAACTTGAACAGAAATAAATTTGTATAATTTTTAATGTTCCTAGTTTAATTTATTTATATAAAGAGATTCTATGGCACCAGCAGAAATGTCTTCTCATAGAACTTGATGCAGAAGGGAATGAGTTGAGCTAGCTACCGCTTCCTCGTTTTTTACGTCGCGTCTGTAAAAATTTTGAGCTTTTGTCAAAAAACCGCCTGCTAAATTTGAGAAGACAGCTTTTGTCAGTCACTTTTTGTCAGATAGACTACCTTTGACTGTCTGCCACTTTCTTAGCTTCGGCCACTTCGAAAAAATGTCGAGTGACCATTGTCTTTTTGCGAAGTGTTATGAAAATATTCGTCTTTTGACGAGTTCAGCACTATTTATTCTTGATATGACTATCTATCATGTATATCTGTATAGGCAATACAAAAAAAATGAGTATCAATTAGTAACAGAATATTCAATTGCTAAGATATGAAAGACTGTTGATTTGAAAATATAACACTTCCTTCCATTTCTTTTGAAATCATAGAAAGTGTGAAGACATATCTAAGACATTTCGATATTATTATATTTGTTGAATAAAGAAACAAAAATGAAAGTATTCAAATATCAATGTAATATCATGCTTCAATTAGGTTTTTAACAGTCATAGTTTAGGCTATAGGTTATTGACATTTTCACCGATGCTATTATTATTGAATGAATTCATAACCGCAAACGAGTCTGGATCAAATCTAATCTGGTTGTAGGTGTGTGTAGGTGTGAGTGTTGATACGTGTGTGATTGCCGTTTTTGATCTGGCTGTGAGTGTAGGTGTGGGTGTGAATGCAAGTGTGGGTATGCCTCTTCACTTCACCTCCGCCAATACCTACAGCCACCCTCAACTGAGATGGTAATTAATCGGTTTGATAACGACCTCGTTAAATAAAACAATATAACATATGGATAATGTATCAAATTTGATTCATACTCGTTTTCGGTTATGAATGCATTTGATGATAGTGAAATCGGTGAAAATAGACTGATTCTAGCCTCAGATTGGTTCTGCTGATTACTATAACATATGCAGTTGTTCGTGAAATATTTATAAACGATATACGACATTTGTTTTATATGTTTCAATCGTATAATCTACTAAAAATTCACTGATAATACAAGCAAATTTTTGAATGTACACTTAAATAAATAAGATAGGAATAATTATAAACATATTAAGAAATTCAAACTAAATAGTTCATATAAATCTCTATATATTCAATATTTATATAGTCTTCTATAAAATACAAGTTATACAAAAATTGTATAACTATTTTTTTTTTTATATATTCGAACTTAATATGTGCCTAACATTTTCAAGAAATAGAAAAAAATGGAAGTATAAGAAAGCATGAGTAATTTTCGAGAAAACAAATAAGAAATTCTTTTATAAGTGGAAATAAATATTTTCCTACAAGAGTTTATTCAACTTACGAAATTATCACTTTTTATTGTTCTCATACTCACAAACATAATAGATTATTATTATTTTATCAAAGCAATGATGATTATAATAGTGAGAATCATTTTTTCATTAAGGATTACATGTATCATGTAAAATATTATCTCTATCAGCAGATCATTAATCATGTCATAATTCAATTCAATAAAACTTATGACCAAATGAGTAAAAAAAAGCTCAAAATGAAGTTTAAATAAACTGATTTATACTACAGTATTCAACATAATGTTCGATTATAAATGACACCGTATATCAAATTCATATTTATTAATGCCGCATAAATTTAAAATGCACCTTTACAGACGAATATAGTCGAACAACGAATGTATTAATATATTCATATAATTTGCAATAAGCACTTCTATTGTTTCATCACAAGGCACTATAAAGAGTACAATAATAATACCCATACAACGTGAGAGAAAAGAGTGAGATAACATAGAAAAGAGAGTATGTATGTAAGAAAACAATTCGGTTCTTGCTGCTTCTGCTATTGTTTCTGTGAATATGGTGAGAACGAACGACAAAAAAAAACAAGTAAAAAAACCCATTTGCCAATTTTCTTCGTCATATACAAGATAGAAATAAATCAACCAAAAGCATCGATTACTAGTGCACACTTTTTCTGTTTGCAAGTAAAATCATTGTCTACTCCCTATCAGATAATGTAAGTAGTTTAAAATTTTTTTTTTCGTTATTCTATTCATTTATAAAATCTTATATGATCATATCTGTAATGACGGCAAAAAAAAACAATTTTTTTTGCATTCATTTTTGAATATATTTGGTCGCTATTAATATGGATGTAGTCAGAAATAAGGAACGATAGATGATATTTGCTATTAAACAAGACAACGCTAAGAAATTCAAATTCGCTTTTTCTGTTTCCTAGCGTCTGAATCTGCGTGTAAGCAAGCTAGAGACATTGTATATGACTTAGCGACAACGAAAGAGAGAGAGAGAAAATATAAAGGAAAGAAAAACAACTGAGAATTTACAAATAGTTGAGAGCGCTCACTTCAAAAAGGAAACGCTACGAAGAAGTTTAAATACAAATTATCATTGTAATCGAATTGGTGTTGTCTGTAACAACCAAGAATTTGTTCTGCACAAATATTGTGCAGATTTATTAACAATGTGTTTTTCTACTAAAAGTAAGTTGTAAAATTATTTCTAACTATAAAATTGCGTTTCTATCTAACATGTTTTTCATTGTTCGAGAATACATAATTCATTGTATTCATCTTACTTCCAATATACTGTCCAATCCAATTGAATGAATAATAGTAGATAATCTGAACTACTACATTGTATCTTATTAGTGTTCGTCTATTCTGAACTATAGTGTCTATAGTTGAACGAGGCGTCTTTTCAATCCTTTGTTTTTTTTTTATTGTTGTAGACATTAAAATAAACCTATAGTATCAGCATTTTGTATAATGATTATCGGCAATTGCTTGCAAAAGAATGAGACGAAAAAAGACATTATTTTCAATGACGATGATATTCATAAAAATAAGGGGATCATTTATTTCATATTAATATTTAAATAGCATGACATAAAATAGATCTGTATATCAATCCTATACGAATTTGTCTATAACTCTTTTGATATACATTCAATATTACAATAGTGTCGTGTTGTTTATCTAGTTATTTTTTTTTTAATAATTGGTCTGATTTAAAGATAGACATGTTGACATAAATAGACGACACAAATCTTCAAATAATTATTGACGCCAAGGAATTTTTTTTATCGGAATAATAGCTTGCATAAATGTGACAATGCACAGCATTCTTTCAATATTTTCATATATGTTCAGAATTATTATGAAAACAAAACAAGAGGCATTTCTTTTTGTGTAACCGGAGACGGTAGTCGAATATGAGAATGCAATGAGAAAATTTTCGAACAACATGACTATAATCAGAGTACTGTTAAGAAAAAACAATGTCAAAATTGATTATTGATACAGATCGACATACAAACTGATTGAGATGGATGGTATCATTGCAATAGAGAATTAATAATCTTATGATAATATTAAATCATTTACTTTTTAGCATGTAAAAAGCCTCTAGATATAAAAAAAAAAGGATTGAATCATTTTTATATTATCTGTTGATTATTATCGAATATACCTTGCCATAGAGAGTTCTACATTTTCATGATTTCTCTATGCTTGTCAGAAATAAATAGAAATCAACGTATAATAGTAATTTGAATGGTGTCATTGTGAAAAGAAAGATATGATAGATATTATTACAACGCCTATGATATATTCTTCGTTACAACGAGTTAATCTTGTATGTCTATCTCTTATTTCTTTTTCTTCGTCTTCTTATTTTGTTTTCATCTCCTTTTTTCCTCTACTATTGCTATTATTATTGTAAGAAAACGAAGAAATCTAATGACGTATCTGATGAATGACATATGTTCACGCTCGCAAGTGATATATATGATGGTGTTTAGGTGATAAAATAAAAGCAGAGATTTGTTCGATGTTGATTACTCCCATAACAATATGATTATTTTATCGACTTTTATCTCGAACGTTATCATTAGTTTTATGCTAGCGTTGCTCAGCAAGTTTGTTTTCGTATATGTTATGACCTTCTTAATATTCCCAATGACAATAACATATAGAACTTTTTTGCTTATGTTCTACATCTCACATTGCATGCTTACTTCCAAAATATCCATTTATCAATATTCCTTATGTACAGTTCTTCGCTTTTTAATTGTTGTATTACAATTGATGAAATAGTTCTATGTTATTCTTGACTGAAAGGCTTTGTTTGTCATTAGTTCCATGTATTTATAAGAGCGAGAATAATGTATAGATTGGACGCTAGAAATAGCCAAACTGGAAAACATATAGGAAGAGACATGGATAGAGAAAGAAGAGCAGATGTCTGGATTGATAAGGATGTGTTATTTAAAACGCGACGACTTTTAGCCAAAAACGACAACTAACTACATCCCGTTTTCATTGTTGTATTGTATTGATATAGACTTATCTATGTTTCAACTATATAAAAGATGGGGACAATCATTCAAATCATCAGGTGAGAAGAAAAAAATAAAAAAACTATTGTTTTTCAAATATTTTTCTCTAATATCTGATTGAGTAATTACTTTATCTGACACATTCAATTTTCTGCACACGATATCTTTATTTTTTCTTTTGAATGCAATGATCGAAAATAAAGCTTTTAGAAAGATAAATTCACGGAAATTGTGAAAGTAATGCAGTACACTATATATGGTTATTAGTGGTTATAACAAACGCAAAAAGATGTGAAGCATAGAAGAGGAAGAAGAATAAAAAGCAAACACACACAGAACGAACAGAAGAGAAAAGTTCTGAGTATGCTTTATGGCTCGTTTGCTGACTGACTGACAAAGAGGAAAGGATGAAAACGCACGTGCCATTGTCCTTTTGCATTCTATAGGCGCGCTTGTGCGTTTGGGTTTTGTGTTAAAAAGAAAAGAAGACGTAGAAAGAAGGAAAACAGAAGGCAGTCTTGTCGACAAAGTGAGCCAACGGTTTCTCACGATTACTGTTGTTGTAACACAATTATGTCCTGCTTAGGTATTTAAAAATTGACATGCAATCTTTTTCTACGCAGTTTATTAGTTGTCTTCAATATGAAACGTTCATATTAGCGAGTTCTTCCTCTTACTTTTTACTAATTCTTTTTTTATATAAGTCAATATTTACTCATTTTTTTCTTATTTTTATCTTCATGTTGTCATTACGATTAATATCGATGATATAATCTTATTTTATTGTTGTTTTCTATTTTTCTTTTCAAGAAAAAATGAGTAACTCAACAGCGAGCAGTTCAACATCAAATATAAATGATTCACTAACACTTCGTGTTGTTGATGCTCAAACAAGTGCAGAAAATGGACGTAAATTTACAAAATACAAAGTTTCTGTTAATTATAATGGAAGAGAATGGGAAATTTGGAGACGCTATAAAGAATTTAATACATTGAATGAAAAGGTTGGAAATATATTTTTTTTGCTTTGTTTTGTTTTTTTTTCTTGCAATCCATTAAATTTATGTCTATATTTAGCTTCGTCATACTCGTTCTGATCTTAAGTTACCTGGTCGTCGTCTTATAGGAGATTCTTTTGAGCCTGACTTCGTATTGAAACGTTTACGTGGTCTTAATGAATATGTTCAACGAATTTCTCGGAATACACAACTTGTGAATTTGTAAGTACAAATGCATATTTATGAGACTCTTTTATTTATATATATATATATATTGATTAAATGTAAAAAAATCAGTTGTTATTTTTCTTTTCTCTTTATCTTACATTTTGATTCAGCACATATTTCTACTGACACATTGTCCATCTCTGTCTATTGACATTACATTAGATATGTCAATTATGGGTATTTATTTTAGACCTGAATTCATCGAATTCTTCGGACTTAATGTAACACCATCGAATGAATCACCAATATTAACAGCAGGTGCATCACCATCAATGAATGATAATGATGATAGTGCTGCGGGAAATCCTAATACGGAGGATCAATCTACACCGGTAATTGAAAAAATGATATTTTTCTATTTTTTTTATGCATTCGTAAATATCCATTACGATTTTATTTAGTCTGATACTAATCGAGTTAATCTGGGAAAGACGGAAAAGACTTCGTACGTATTTATATGATGCTATTAGTTTTTTTAATTCTATTTCCTTTACTTTTTCCTATAGAGTTAAACCTGATGATTTCGAATTCCGTACATGTATTGGAAAGGGTTCATTTGGAAAAGTATATTTAGCTCGACATAAAACTGAAGATACAATTTATGCAGTTAAAGTTGTTAGTAAAGCATTAATCAAACGAAAACGCGAAGAACGTCATATAATGGCTGAACGGGATGTACTTGTTAAAAATACTCGTCATCCATTTCTTGTATCTCTTCAATATTCTTTTCAAACACCTGACAAACTTTATTTTGTTATGGATTTTGTTAATGGTGGTGAAGTAAATTCTTTGTTTTTCTTTGAAGATTTTCTTTTCATTAAAATAAGATTATTTATTTATTTAAGTTATTCTATCATTTACAACAAGAACGAGCATTTTCAGAACAACGTGCAAGATTTTATGCTGCTGAAATAACATCAGCTATTGGTTATCTTCATAAACTTGATATTATTTATAGAGATTTAAAACCGGAAAATATTTTACTAGATCGTGAAGTATGGATCTTTGAAGAAAAAGAAACATTTTCTTTTCATTCAAAGACATTATTATTTTAGGGTCATATTCGTTTAACTGATTTCGGTTTATGTAAAGTAATGTTGTCAAGTGAAGGACGTGAAGGACGAACAGCAACATTCTGTGGAACACCAGAATATCTTGCACCTGAAGTTTTACGACGTGAACCATATACAAAAGCTGTTGATTGGTGGTGTTTAGGTTCAGTTATTTATGAAATGTTATGTGCTCGAGTATGTATTAAAATTTATTTATTTATTTACTTATTTAAAACTAATTTAAATTATTTTTAGCCACCATTTTATTCACGCGATGTTAATGAAATGTATGATAATATATTAAATCGTCAGCTTCGTTTTATTGGAAATGTATCTGATCGAGCTAAACAATTAATTGAGCAGGTTTTATTTTCTAAAAAAAAATAAAAATTTGAAATAATATTATCCCTTTTTTTTTATAGTTATTAAGAAAAAGTCCAGCTGAACGTTTAGGTACTGGACCAGAAGATGTAGCTGAAATAAAATGTCAACCATTTTTTGATCAAATTGATTGGGAAAAATTAGAAGCAAGAAAAATTCCACCACCATGGAAACCACCAGTGTCGAGTCCAACGGATCTAAATCAAATTCCAAAAGAATTTATTGATGCTGGAGTATCTCCCGGTGTAGCTGACCAATTTATTGGAAGTGTTACAAATAAAGGTTCATCATTTCCTGGATTTACATATGTTCACGATGCAGATCTGAATAATTAGATTTTTCTTACAAAGTTTCATAAACAGAAATAATCACGAAAACCAGTGATGATTACTAATATACATATATATAGTGTTCATTTTTCTTTCTTCACATTCCGTTTGATGAATGAATGAACAGTGCTCCTTCGATTCTGAATTTTCGAGCGTTTATTTCAGCTCCATGCATCTACCTTTTTTTTTCTCTTTTGTAAAACTATTGGTAATGATGAGTGCCTTTTTTCTTTTCTTTTTCAATAAAAAAATCCTACTGGTAGGCATCAAAAAAATGTATTGAAATTTAGAAAGATTTCATTGCTAACATATTTACAAATTGTTGTGATGAACGAAAAATAATTCAAGAACAATTTAATTACGAGTTATATTAATTGAAATATCTATTTTATTCTATACAGAACGTAAACATGTTCCTTGTCGTCGCATTTATGATAGTAGTGTAACAAGATGAGAATTATAGGAGGCTTAGCCACCTATACAAGTATAAACAGAGAGTGTTTGCCCTGTCTACAAATATAGTTCGGGGTTGAGCGCCCCCTCCCCCCGCTCACTCTCTTACAATGTTTTTTTAGTTATGCTTCTAACTTGAAAATATATATGATGAGCGGTTTAATTAGAATAAGCTTCTTAAATTCCAGATCGGTAAGTATTGTAAAGAATTTTTCAGTTATATAATCGTATTTAAGCGCTTGAAATGCAAACTTAAACATAAGTCGTCGTCCACAATAGAAGACTTCGGACCTCCTATTATGTCTGTGTATACAAATTATTCAAGGGAGTTATCTATTGTGTCTTGTTTATTTACATCATTTTTTTATTAACAGGATTTTTCAAAAAACAAAACGATTTTGATAAGATTGGAAGAAACTTTTGAAGATCTAAAAGTCCAACACTAATGCTAACCCTAATCTTTTTAGAATTTTCAGGACAAAAAAATTGTAAATCAGAAGGAATATTTTGTTATAAATATACTAATGGAAATTCTAATTTTGGTAGAAATTAATTACAGAAGGGAAGTATTTGATTATTTCCAATGGATGCTTACTCCCAAGGAAGTCTTCTACTCCAGGGAGCATTTCACTTATTCAGCAAAAATTTAAGTTAGTTTAATCAAGCATATACAGTTAAACTTTGCCATGAATAATTATAGACATATTATCTTTGAAAGTATGTTGTTTATTAAGAAAAAAAAATTTTTATGGAAGTAGACAATTGCTGTCTAACATGAAATACTCAAATAATCCGTCACTAAAATTATCTAAATACATTCTTTAGAAGAGATCGTTAAATAAATTAAAACTGTAGGATATATATTAGCATAATTCATTTATATTCAAGAACATTTTATGGAGGGTCAGTTTGACAACATTGACGTTTTAATTAGAACATGTTCTTTGATAGATCAAATTTACTATGTTGAAAATTGAAGTGTTATTATTAGTAATAGAATATTAGATATAAGGTCATTTATGCGATACAATTTAATTAATAAAATAATTGACAAGTTGGAATTTTTGTCATATCAAAAAACAAGATATAATGTATGTAATCAAGTTTATTATTATCTCATTGATCTTTTACGAGATATAAATATTTTCTAAGAACGTAAAAATGATTAATATATGATGTTTATGGCGAATACAAGTATTTGATATTATTGTCATTTATTTTTTCATTTTATTCTGGTAAATAAATCGAAAAAAAGTAAAATTGCAAATAAGAATTTTTCTAAAAATAGAAGGGTTCTTCTAGTGAATTCCTTAATCTCTTCACTTAAGAGTACTTATTGAAATTATTTTTCTTTGACAATTAGATAAAACTTATTTGTCAAGATAAATTCTCTTTCAGATAGAATTCAACCTTTTTCTTTTTTCTACGACATTTTTAATTTATAATGCATGGATTTATTTTGGGATAGTTCAATGAAAGAAAAAATGTCACTATAAATATATAAATAATGATGCGGAAAACATTTGTTCTCTAATTGCAACCTATTAAGAATAATTCTAAATATAAAGAATCCTTTGAAAAGAAAAAAAAAACTATTTTTTTCCTATTAGAAATAAACGATCGATAAATCAGATCTAGAATCCTGTGGGACAATTACAAATCCAGTAGCTTCTAGAATTTATTTTCTTAGAATTTTTCTATAAATCTTGTTATACATTTTATTGTCAAATGGAAAGAATAAATCTGAGGAAAAGCATCTAGCTGAGCGTGAACGATGATCTATGAAAACTATAATTGTCTTGCAACCCAGTTAAAATTTAGTACATGCTACTCACAAAAGAATTTCGGTAGGTCACGTCATGCAAGGCTAGGCATTCAGCTAATTCGAACTCAAGTTCGAAGTTTGGACTGAACAGTTTGATTTCAAGCCATGCATAGTATTTATCTAGATGATCACACAATTCTTGAAGCATATAACTGGAACTTTTTAGTTTTTGTGTCATTTACTTCGTTGTCTGTAGATCTATGATATCTGATCTTCACAACCTTTCATTTGATTTAGTTCTCGCCGTCTAGAGTTACTAACTAAGTGGAAATGTCTGCATCCAATCGTTCAGACTTGGTACATGACTACGCAGGACTCTAACAGAACAATATATTTATGATTCTGTCAGTGAACGAAATTCGAAACTCGAAAAAAATTTCTTCTGCAAGATTCTACTCCGATCTACTTTTTTTCAAAGATATGAAGAAAACTTCTGAAATTTACACTTTAAAACAGATAAAGATATTTCCTGATTAATTATAAACTAATTATATCTTTATTAATGTCATATACATAGAGCTTTTTACATTTTATTCATTTAAATCATAATCAAATGAGGTTTTATTCCATAATAAACAAAACAAAAAAGAAGAAAATTATTTTCTTTGTTGTTGAAACAATAAATCTAAATACATCTTTTTAAACAAGACCAGCTTTATCCATCTCCATCGATGGATTATATCGTTTACCAAATCCACCACGACCTGGATCATAATCTTTACGATATTCATCACGTACCTAAAAAAATTAAAAATACAAAACTGCATTTGTGAAATCAATGATAATAAAACACAAACTTGTCCACCACTTCTTCCGCGACCATATTGACGTCCATCAATAAAACCAGCATCCCAATCAGTTCGAATAATTCTATCATCAAGACGTGTTTGATTTATATATCTCATACCTTGTTCAGCATCTTGTCTTGTATAATATTCAACAAAACAAAATCCACCTAAGTGAAAATTTTCATTAAACTAAATCAAAAAGAAAAAAAATTGAAATTTTACATGGTGTTTTTGTTGTTTTATCTAAACCCATTATAATTCGTTTAACATCACCAGCACGTGAAAATAATTCATGTATTTGTTCTTCTGTTGTAAAAAATGATAAATTACCTACATAAAGTGTTGTACTTGTTAATAATTTCTTATCTTGTTCTCCTTCACTTCCCTTTTATTTTTTTTAAACAAAAGAAATAAAAAAATTAATTCAATTTAATGAATATAAAAACAAATGAAATTATTTTACTCGAAATTGTCGATCACGATATGAACTAAGTGCAATAGATTTTTGATATAGAAAAGGTATTGTAAGATCCGACATAATTAATCTGAAACAAAGAAAAAAAAAAAAAAAAATTTTTTTAAGCAATTTTCATAAATATGATACACCAATTTCCATCATCATTATATGAATTAATAATTTTAACGTGAGATATATGATTTAATATATGCTCAAGTTCATTCTTTATAAAAACATGATAATATCTTAAAACTTTTTCTGTTGGTTTAGTCCATGGTACAAGACAATCAGATTGTTGAAATGCTGTTCGTGATGTATGAATAATTAATTCATTTGTTGTTTCATTTTTTGTATGTATTGGACAAGGTTTAGCATTTTTAGTAATATATGTACTTTTTTTATTATCTATTTCTTGTTCTTTTGCCCATACAGTAACAAGTGCATGTCCACCTGGTTTCAATATACGAACTATTTCTTTTAAAGCTAATAATCTTCGTGCCTTAACAAGATAAGAAAATAAGATTTTAAAAACAAAATAGAATTTTTTTTTCTTATTTACTTCAGTACTAATATGATGGAGAACAGCAATACAAATAGCACCATCAAACATATTTGTTGGTACAGGTATATTCATGCAATCAGAAAGAAAAACTTCAAAATATCGATCACGACATATTTTTAAAAGACCTTCACTTCGATCACAACCAATCTACTATTGTACCAAATAAAATTAGATATGAAACAAAAAACAAATTGATTTGTTTACCATTATAATGTCATTTCTTATATTCATATATTTTCCATTTCCACAACCAACATCAAGAATTAATGAACCATTAGGAAATGAACGTAAAAAATCGACAATACGTGGCCATGGTTTATAACGAGTATCACTAAAATTATGAGCTATCTCATTATAAACCTTATGAACATGTTCTTGTTCAAGTTGATAAGCATCTGATTCAGATTTCGGTATTGTTAATGGATGAGAAGGCGATGACATCTATTCAATAAAACCGAAAAAAAAAAAAAATTTATTTTCTAAGAAAATCATTCAAATTTTAATTCATATTTATTTATTATTTTTAAAACAAATAACAACAAAAAAATAATGAATAAAATTCGATTTTCATTTCAATGACCAACACGATCACGAGGTATTATTCGAAGTTCTGCACCATGTTTAAGAAAAACATTACCTTAATGAATATACTATTATAAGTATCAATTGATAAAGAAGAAAAATTTTCTATTTTCTACCGGCTGTTTGTGATGGATTAATACCAATACCATCATTAGTAATAATCGCACTTGTAGCTGCTTGTACTTTAAACTAGTAAATGAAAAGAAATTTTACAATCATATAAAACAAAATTTATATTTACCTCTTCAGCTGCAAATTTTAGCACAGCTGTAAATGGTGTATTTTCTGGTACACTTAATCTACAAAAATAAAAAGAAATTTGAACATAAAAGAAAAAAAATCAATATTTACACTTTAAATGGTAATTTAGGATCCGAAGTTAATGTTATTTTAAATGTTACTTTAGCATTACTAACTGCTGATACTGTTGGTTCATTAGATCCCATCTAGAATATCAATGAAAAAAAAGTCATATCATGAAAACTAACAATAAAATAAAATCAAATATCTCGTTCATAGATTTCTAAATGATACGATGGTGTTTCGTTATTTTCATTTTGCTTTTCATCTGAATTTTCAAAGAATTGTCGATATTCATCAGGAATTGATTCAATACGTTTAAAATTTGATACATCAAATGATGACCAAACAGCTGTACATTGAAAATCACCTTTAACACGTGTTACAAATATACGTTTAACAAGATTTGTTTTCATTGCTTCTTCATAAATTAATACTCCACCAATAATGAAAATATTTTCAATATTTGAATTTTCATTTGCACATTTTAATGCATCATTAAATGTTTCAACACATGTTACATTTGGATAATTTGTATTTGGTAATGTTCGATTACTAGTAACAACAATATTTAAACGATTTGGTAATGGTTTTGGAAATGTTTCATATGTTTTTCGTCCAACAATCATAGCATTTTGTTTATTTGAATCATTTACTTTTGATGTAACATGACGAAAAAATTTTAAATCATTTTTAATATGCCATGGAATTGTATCATTACGTCCAATACCATTACAATCATCCAAAGCAACAACAATTGTTAAAAGTTTTTTATTCATCACTTGTATTCTTGAAAAAAAACGACGAAAAATAAACATCAAGAAAAATAAAAGAAATGAAGTATTAATGAAAGTTTACAAATATTTATAAAAAAAATATTCTTGTATATTTTTATAATTATTATTTTTTAACCATTCTTATGTTTGTAGAATAATGAAATAAAATATAAAATTTTATTAATACTAAGTATCAGTTTGATCCATGATGAAATAGAATATTATACTTAGTAGTTGTTATACTACAAACAATCTCATTAAACAAATGTGTAATGGAGAATATTTGCTGCGAGTAATGTTGAAAGTCCAAAAAAATGTATACATGAATTGGAAAAAGTAATAGTACATATAATTCAAAATGCAGCGAAATATAATTTCGAGTAATCCAAGACTTTGTCTGTAGTTATGAAAATGATTATTGACTTTCGAAATATTGATCTTTTTTTTTCCTAGTATTGAAATTTCCAAAAAACATCTTAATCGATCAGTAGCGCACCGATAATAGTATCATCTAAATAAAATTGAACTGTAAATATACATCATAATTTTGTAAATATACTCGATCTAAGATACTAGTCAGAACTAGCTGATTCATAATTAAGTATAACTCACGTTTGAACTAAGTTTTTGTAGATCTTGCTAAATTTTTCCGTCAATAGATCAACCTTTTTTCTAACAGAAATCTAAAAATAAGATATACTCTTTTTTATACGTTGTGTACACAAGTATACGCTTACACCTTCTTTACGTAAGTACAATGTATTAAAATAAACAATCTCCAAGTTTACAAAAAAAATAACGTATCAAAGATAAAGGGAAAAAAAAACACTTGTAAATGATGAAAAAGAAAGATCATAAATGAAAAATAAAATTTTCTTCTCAGATTATTTAATTAGAGAGTGAGATTGAATTATAAAAGAAAAAAATCGAATAAGTTACATGAACTTTTTTTTTGTAAAGCATAATAAGTATATTTTCTATTGTGTAAGAAATGTAAAATAGGATGTATATCAAAAGCAGCGTGTTTCGTACATTTTTCTCTTGCCGTTAGAATGACTGCAATTGACTTCATTATGTTATTCTTATCGGTCACTCAAATTGACCAATAGTGATTATTATTTTATCTAAATAAAAATAAAAACAAAATTGTTATGATCATAAAATTTTTAGATTTGATTTCATTCTAGTTTTGTTAATAATAGAAATTCATAAAAAAAAAATTATATTATTTAACAACTGGTTGAAATAAACCAATGAAAATCTTTATAATGACGTCAGCTGATTGAACATCGTCACATGGAGTATCTTTTGCGTTCTGTTTTGATTCTTTAATAATCATTATTTTTTCAAATGGCTGATGTAATTACTTCCAATGATTCCCAACAAAATCCATCATCGGATACAGTTTCTAATATTAATGAAACACTATTATTAATAGCAACAGATAATCCAACATATGATTCAGGTGATGTTGAAGAACCTCCAGCAAAAAAATGTAAAATTCCAATAAATGATAAACCTCGTTTACTTGAAGATCGAATTGGATCTATTTTATCATGTTGTATTTGTTTGGATCTTTCGACATTAGCAATGTTTCAAGTACGAAGAATCTTCAAATCTTATCAATAAAAAAAAAAAAAAAAAACTAAAGTTAAGTTTGTTTTAGTGTGTCAATGGACATCTCATGTGTGCTTCTTGTTTTAATCATTTATTAGCTGATTGTAAATTGAAAGATGAACAACCAACATGGTATGTTAAAATAAAATATTTTAATTTTATTAAATTATTGAATTCTTCTTTTTTCATAGTCCAAATTGTCGCTGTGAAATTTCAAAATCAAATTGTACAAGAAATTTAGCAGTTGAAAAAACAATATCAGAATTACCAATTCAATGTGATTATTGTTCGAAAATATTTTTACGTTCAGAAATAAAAATACATCAAGCACAACATTGTCCTGATCGGTAATGACTTTTTTTTTATTTTGTTTTAATTCATATACATAGAAGTATATATTTAAGACCAACAATTTGTGATTATTCATTACTTGGATGTAATTGGAATGGATCATATCATAATTTACCATCACATTTGACTGTATGTGAATATCCAACAAAGACTGGTTTAGAATTAATCGATACTATTCGAGCACAAAAAATGACATATGATGAAGAAAAAAAATGTCTTGAAACAGTAGTTGATCTACTTTCACTTAATCAAATTGGTGTTAGTGGTAAGTTTTATTAAATTGTATAGTGTAATAAAAAGATGAAATTTTGTTAGAATTTCATTAAAGAATAAAAGTAGTCTCTTTAAACTAATCCATTTCATTCATTTCATAGATCTTATATTGAAGCCATTACGAACAGATGATTTTGTTGCCAAACTTTATTTTGAAACATCACGTTTTACAGCCTTACAATATCAATGGCAAGTACGTGCTCGTATCAATGATAATATTCCTCATCCACATACAACAATTACACGATCATTAAGTTATCAATTAATTCTTAAATCAAAAATTAGTCAAACAATTGATTTAAAATTTTTTATTCTTAAAGGACCACATGGTGATCCATCAACATCACAAATTCAACCAATTATTTATCATTTTGAATTCAATCAAAACAATACTGAAACTGAATATCTTAAATTACCTATAAGTTCACAAGAATGTAATAGAATTTTATCATCATCATCCATTAGTTTTCGGTTACTTATGGTACAATTAGATAGACCTTAAAACGAAAAAAATACAAGTGTTCATTGTCTCTTTTGAAAAATGTATAATTAACGATGGCTTTGATTTGTCTTTATCGAAATGCGTATATATTTCTGCATAGGACCTGATATTTGTTTTTCTTTTTCTCTGTTTTATGTATTCTGTTCAATTTAGTATGTATATATATATATATAGGTTTTTTTTCGTATATACATTTATGTCATTTATTTAAGAAACACATGAAAAAAAACATATGTTAGTCATGAAAATAGAATCGTTTATTTTCAAACTGATATTATTTATAGTATTATGTGACGTTTAGAAGCAATAGTAGATAAATATTTATTTCTTATACTTTCTCAAAGTATTGTACCTTTTTCCCTCTATGTTAGTTCTTTTTTTTTGTCCATTTCTTTGACTTGTACTAAATACTTTGGTTAATTCTAAACATAGAACTATAAAATAAATGTAGATAAGGTAAACATATCGATATTGATATCTGCTAAATATACAATACAAGTGATGGTAATATTGTTAATCTGATGTTAATTATTAAAATCAAAGAAGTTTTATTATATAGTACAAATAAAATCGAGATACAAAAACTTGCAAACACTTTCCTTAGCGGCATATAGAAAAATGAATGAGAATAAAACAGCAGTGTCACATATCCAAAATTTTGGAGATGCATCCACGTCTAGCGCGGGTGATGCGGCATTTACTGCGAGAGATGTGGGCGCATCTCCAAAATTCTGGATATGTGACACTACTCTGTTGTTCAACATTTTTTCTATTTACTGAATTCTTTATAATAATAAAAAAAACACATCTTTAACACAGCAAACGATAATTGCATATTTATTCTTAAAAAGCACATGCACTTTTATTTTTGAGATAAATATTGTGCGAATAACACAGAAAAAAGTCAAACGAACAGCAATACAAAAAAAAAAAGAAAGGAAATATAGTTTATCTATAAAGATCTTCCAGTAGATAAGGAGAGCGAAAGGTCCAGACATATTTGAACATGCAGATACTTATGACAATATTTTTACTACTTTTGTAGCATCATTTCACGACACTTTCAAGTTATGTTTGTGTTGAAAAGCATTTCTAAAAGAGCAGGCCATTCGAATTCCATAGAGTATCATATACAAACAAATGACATATATGAAAAATATATCAATTGTCTTGATGGCAGCAAAGAAGAGAATAGTTTGTAGAGCAGCAATAGCATTCTCAAGTGTATCATTCTTTGAAATATTGTAACTTGAGAATTAATCATGTTTTGATTGATTGTATTTCTATAACATCTAACAGTTTTCAACTTGCTATGCTCTTTTGTCATCAATCATTGAGGATCTTTTTTTTATGAAACAAGTGTTTCTTTATTACTTTATTTGTTCATATTGATATGAGTGTTGTTACATATATATTACCAAGTGATTGATATTGAATAATAACTTTTATTTTGTTCCCCTTTTCAATCGGCTTCTTGATATACTGTGTATTTAAAAAGAGAGCCATCAAACTTGAAATAGATTTGTATTTCTTGTAATTCGTGAAATTTGCATGTTGTTATTTTTATAGAATATACTTAGAATGAAGGATTTGAAAGTCGAATTTCATCGAAAAAAAAACTACCATGTTCAATCAGATTTCAAACAATTAGATGCTTTTCATTTTATTAATTTTTAATTTTTATAATGTGCTGTTATTCAGTAAAAGAGATTCTAAGAACGTATGGAAAAAATCGATTGGAATCCTTAGATTTCGACAGGATTTAATAAAGATGGTTTAGGTGACATACGTATTTTATTTCTTTTTTTCTAGATGGATCTAGTCAACAAGTTATTACGATTTAATAGAAAAAGTAATGCTCTTAAACAAAAGTACTAATAAAAAAATTATTCAATCTCGACGCTTAGGAGCATGCGAAGTTAGTCAAAAAAGACAGAATCTATTTGTACGAGAGAATTAGGTCAAAATAGTTTTTTGTAACATGTGTTTTAGAAGTTTTCCAAAGGTAAATTTTGTCTAGGCTCAAATATTGGCCTGGAATATTACACTGTTTCTCTCTTCTCACCATTCTTATTGTTATTATTATCCTCTTATCGTCATCAGTCATAATATTTTTTTATAACAAAAAGAAAAAAAACATGAGTGTTATAAAAATGAAGTATTATCAATTGGCTTATAAAGATGAGACACTGCACTGATTATCAGCACGACTCATTTTTATATGGAGACATCGATGAAAGACAGGAAAACACATTCTAATCTCCTGTAAATGATGACTTGTAAGAAATAACATGTAAAACAATATAGATTGCAATTTTTCTACCAATAGTAAAACAAAAAAGACTAAAATAGTCTCTAAAATGATTCATCTTAGTTACTATTTTTTCTCTTTTTTTTTCTTTTATCCTGTGCAATCAAACACCACCAACAGAAACAATAACAATAACAAGACACTCATGCGAATAGCTTTATACTGTCATTTTTCCATTTCTGGCATTACTCACATCTCCCGGTCTGTTGATGATCCATATCAATCTCTTTTCTTTTTTTTATTTATCAAGAGCATAATAGAGTAAAAAAATAAAATAATGAGGAAAAAACAGAAAGAAGAATAAGTTAATTGAACGGAGAGCCAATATTTTCTGTTCTTTTTCGATTAGATTTATTAAGATCAAACATCAAACTATTTTAATATTGACTGAGAAAGTTGAAAAGAATTTATCTGATTACGGGTTTTACATTAATAAAAACAGATTTAAATATTTTCTCATGGTATGTATTAATAATATTACAATTCAATGAGAACAACTGCCAGTTGTAAATGAAACTATCGAATGACAATAATCGATATAAAAATAAAAACATGAATCGTGTTGCTATGTTCGCGTTCTTTTTTTTTTCTTTTTTATTCCTTTGTGCTACATCGTACTTGTCCTTTCGTTTACCTCTGACACGACATATTTATGTCAATATTTTTTTCGATTTTTTTTCTTGTTACTGATTATCGAAATGAGTTATATACTATTCCAACCATTTCTTAAACATAAAAAAATCCTCTTTCCTTTGAAAATAGACCCAATGTTCGTGTTTTTTTTTTCTATTATTGTATTTTTTTTAAAGGTTAACATCAAGACAATAATTTCAATGAATTCAAACAAAATATGACTTCCGATATAGATTTAGTTCGTAAAAAACTAGTTGTTGTTGGTAATGGTAATGTTGGTAAAACATCATTACTCTATGCATTTAAAGATAATCGATTTTGTCAAGATTATGTTCCAACATTATTTGAAGGAAATACACATGTTATTGATGTTGATAATAAACGTATTGAATTATTATTAATTGATACAGCTGGACAAGAAGAATACGCTAAGTAGAATTATTATTCTTATTTTTATTTTGTTTTATTTTATTGCATTTTATTTTAGACTTCGTGTTCTTGGTTATCCAAATACTCAAGTCGTATTAATTTGTTTCGCTTTTGATGCACCAGAAAGTCTTACATGTATATCAGATAAATGGGCACCTGAAGTAAAACATTATTGTCATAATGTTCCAATACTTTTAATTGCAAACAAACGTGATTTACGTGATGATCCATCTGTACATGAACGTATTAAAAATCAAAATCAAAAATTAATTACAACTGAAGATGCACTTTTATGTGCAAAAAGAATTGGTGCAAAAAATTATCTTGAATGTTCAGCTAAGACACGTGAAGGTGTAAAAGAAGTATTTGAATATGCAGCTAAAGTTGCATTAGATAAAGATTCACACGATAAATGTTTTTGTCGTTGTATTTTATTATAATTATTTTCTGTATGAGTGAACAAAGCTCAAACCTGTCCATTGTTTTTTTTTGTGTAAATTTCTTTTGAGAATAATCAAATAATTCTGTGTATATTTATAGGTTCAAAAAAAAAATAATGCATGTAGGCATATGTGCCTTAAAACTTAAATAATACGAGATTGAAAATTTAGTTTGAAATAATGATTTAAATTTCATGCGAAGATGATATTGATTGGTGAGAAATTTTGTATTGATATTACTTTCATTTAGCATACGTAAAAAAACAAAACACAGAAAGTTATTTTTTTTTCTTATTTATTTTACTGCTTCGAATACTTGATTTATTCATATGATTTGTCCTGGAATATTCACAAGTGTATTATGCAATGGCTGTCAAAATGATCCAACCAGGTATAAAATCATATTTTTGTTCTTGTAGTAGATACTACAAAAAACCTTAATAGTGATTTGAATAAAGAAAATTTTTTCCAACTAATTGACGAGAAAATTCAATTATTCTGTATATTCTCGAAACCCAACGTTTCTAAGAAACCCGAAGCCTAGATTTTTAGCACTCAGAGAAAAGTTTGTTTTATTAACAGAGACTGATAGAGTACGACACTCTTAGCAAAATGAAAGCTTTCCAAACTCTCCATGATATTATTTGCCTCACCTATACGAAATTTATCGAAAGCCTGCTGTTTCCAATGAGAAAAATACCAAAAATCATCTTTTGAAACTTCTGAAAATCTTGTGTAGTTCGACCAAATAATGGTCTGGAGAGCCTGGAAGATCTTATTTTTCTGAAAATGTGTTATTCTTTCGTTCTCTGTTGTCATAATAAACTTTTAGTATCAGAATTCGGACGCTGAAAGTCTAGAATTCAGGTTTTTTAGAAAATCTAGAATTTGAAAGTTCATCTAGAAGTTTATTTTCTTCGTCAATATTTTGGAAACAATATTCTTTATTCAATTCCCTATTTTGATTTTTTTGTAGGACCTATTGTAAAGGGAAAAATGTTGAATTTACATCCGATAAGATAATTTTGTTGGCTACTGCATGTATCTCAATATCAGTTTGAAATGTTTCTTAAAAAAAGTACGCAAAAACCTTTAATGATTATTACCTTTTGATCTCAAGTATCGTATAGTACTGAATAAAATTGCATGTTTTCTTTTATCGAGGCCATTCAGAATGAAAGCAATCAAGTGTCATTAGTAAATACACAAACAAATATTGAAAGAATATTCACTATGAATAAACTATACTTCTTTTGCATAAATGAAAACTTGTCTAAAAAATGATATACTGAAATGATTTCCAATATACATATTTTTAATGCATGTAAGATTCTCTATTGATGAAAATATTTTTCTTATGGAATAGTCAACCGAAATCATATATTTTTATTTGAACATCTAAAATTGGTTTCTTTCAAGCCGTTAAGTTCAAATGTTAAAATATAACACAAAAAAAAAACGACTACATGTTTCATGTGGATATACTTATATGATTAAATGAAATAGATGAAAGTAATCGTAATTGTTTTTGTATTCCTATTACCTATTATTTTTTCAAGGACATTGAATTTCGCTTATTTTATATTGTATATATGTACTTTAATGTAATTGACTCATTGATAGTTATATTTGAAGATAAACACAAACGTTTATGTAATACATCATTGAATTCAATGTATGTCATATCTTAAGTTTACCATGAAATATTCTGTTATTATTTCTATTTCGTTTATTGGTCGGAATCGACATGTTAGAGAAATAATAACTTATGAATTATTCTATTCATTCGATTATTTAATCGACTTTTGCATATCAATGAAAACGATAAGAATAAAGTGTTATTAATTTACTTGATATATGTATTATTCCTTTAAAAATGTGTTTTTGATTACTAAAGAGAAAAACTTTATTGCTATAAATGCTATTCAAGTATTGAATGATTCATTTTTTCGTCGACAAGCTTTTCAATAAATGCTCTGAGAAATGAACGAGCGATTTCTCGAGATGACGGTTCCCAATCAGCAGTTTGCAAGTCAAACGATGCTTTTATTCGTTCATTAATCTGATTACAGAGTTGTTGTTTCACTTCATTGTTCATCGCTTTTTTATAATTCGTCTCATTAACAATCGTTTCAGTCTTATCTGAATAATCCGAGTTATGTAGAATATGATATGGATCAGACATTGAACGATACATTTCATCGATAATGGGATTATGTTCATCCTATTAAAACTTCTAAGATTGACAATGATTTACTTAGTTAAATAGACTTACATAGAAATCTACAGGCAGGGTAGCCATACATTCAGTAATAGCTTTAATAATTTCAGTTTCAAAATCATCATCAAGAATTACTTGTAGAGCATATGTATTTGTATTAGTTCTAGAAAAATTATCTGATTGACTGTGAGTCGGTTGTTCAACTGGTGAGATTTTGGTTTGATTTCTAACATAGATCACGTGTTGTTTATTGTCGTTATGACCAGAACATGCACTACCCATGCTAATATGCTGTTGTAATTAGTTTTCAATCTGCAATATTTTACACTTTTTTTTTATCGTATAGAATATTACTGAATTGTGAAATTTATATAACTTTTGGTTTCTTCTTTCAGTTTTGCTGGCTACAACTTCTATCATAAAGTAAATATACTTCACAGAGAATTTAAGCATTCTCCTTTTATTAGTAAGATAAAGTTTTCTATTTTATCAACATCAAAATATCGACGATATGACAGTAACACATTTATGAATTTATTGTTCAGTGATGACTGTTGCCATCTAGTTTGTTGTCCTATCAGTTTTCTTTCTATTCGTCATATCTTTTCATGAAGAATGACAAAGACTGATATTACTGTAATAACATCATGTTTCGACATTTGTGTGTACGTGTTTTTTGATAAGCTATGTCGGAAGATCTTTCATTAAATGATGTAGTAATGCCCAAATGTTATACACGTATATCAATCGTGTTTGATTATAAAATCGATGATTTAGAAGAGCCATTAATTGAATTTCTCAGAAAATTTTGTCCTACTGCATTTTGGAAAATTGTTTATGATGATAATAAACCAAATTATGGTCAATTAGTAGAATCAACATCTAATTTGAATAAAATATTTAGTCGTACTGCACAACCAGATGTTCCTATTTCTAATTATATTAATTGTAGTTTTCAAGAACTTGATGTATTTCCTTATTCAATCTTTCCAACTGACGATTCACCTTTATTTTTTCTTCATCAAATAAATGTTCGTGATGGAACATTATTAGCATTTGGTATACATCATCATCTTTCTGATGGACGTGGATTTTTTACATTGATTGATCGATTTTCTAATTGGATACGTCATAAAGATGATTCGAAAGTAGTTCCATTTATTTTTGATCGATCTTTATTAAAACCAGCAGCAAATGTTCTTTACGAACATAACGAATATACTCTCGAACCACCTAATTACTCATACTTGGAACTACCAATTATGGATGTGATTGTTAAAAAATTTAGTAAGAAAGAATTATTTGATAAATTAAAAATAACAGCGACACATGTTTCATTTAATGATGTTCTTGTTGCTTGGTTAACTCAAGCAATAAGTCAAATACGTCAAATACCATCAAATGAAACAATTAATGTTGGTATGGCGAATGATAGTCGAAGTGAATTAGGTATTGGTTTAGATTATTTTGGTAATTGTAACTTTTACTTTTCACTTCAATTTAAAATGATTGATTTATTGAATAAAAGTGTTAATGAATTAGCTGAACAAATTAACGTTGACAAGAAACAACGAATGACAAAAGACTATATGACATCAGCATTGGCTTGGATTAAACAAGCTTCCAAGCCTATTCGTCCAGGTTTCAAGGCATTCTTAGGAAAAGATTTAGCTTTTACAAATTGGTCGCGTTTTCCACTCTATCAAATTGATTTTGGTCAGGGTCCACCTCGACGAGTTGCATTACCACCTAGTCGATGGGATGGTTTGATTTTGATTTTACCAACTGAAACAAATGCCGTCGAATTATATATTGGTTTAAAACAAGATCATGCTGATGAACTTCTTAAACGAATTGAATCGTTGTAATTTTTGAAAAATGCACTTAATGCAGCATTCATAGGTCACTTGTCTATTGATTTCTGATAAATGAACCTATTTGTCTTTATTTATTGATTGAATGATAAAGAATAAAAAAATATTGTAGTTCGGTGCTTCTTTAGAAAACGTAACAAAATATCACTAATTTTATTCGAGATGTTGCTCACTCTCATATTTAATAATATCTAATGTACTGGCGTAGAAAAATCATTACGAAAAATTTTTTTAATGTTGGCTTGATGGTCTTCAACCTTGGATCATAGAAAGGTGTACGTTTGAATTGTCCTTCACCTTGATCTGAATTTTCCACTGAAATTTCATTGTCAGATAGTTGAAACGCTTTGAGAAATGCCAAATAGATTTTCTGCTGAACAAAAAAAAAACATCGGTGATAAAGTACTGACTAATGCTAAAATACCATTTTTTGACAGGTTTGTGTGAATTCAAAATTGGCTTCCAAAACCGTCACATTCAGCAATTGTCTTTAACTTTTAGCTTTTTAAAAAGTTCAACGTTTGATTAGATTGTTCAAAAACTTCTAACAAATATAGTATTAATAATAAAATCGTATTTCTTGTAGAAAAATTCAATTCCTAGAAACATGGGGAAAATTGAGTCTTCTGAAAGGCTTTTCGATCCAAACGAAATGTTAGAGAAAAATTTTTTCGCTTAATACAATATTTATCTTATCGATTAGTGTATTGCGTGAAAATCTCAATCTTCTATGATCTAAAATCGAAAAATTCTAGAAATCAGATTTGTGCTTGGAAGGCTTTTGTAATCTGGAGTCGAAAGCTATCACGGCATCATTTTTCAGACTTTTAAGTGTTGTTTTATGGCATCAAGACATTAGGTTCTACTACTGCTGAAAGTTTGAAACACTTAGGAAAAAATCAATATAAACTTTAGTATACTTTCGAAAGAATAACCTCATATAAATTGAAATTCTATTGTCTTTAAAAAAAACTTTATTTTTGATAAAATAGATGCCAGTTTTATCATCATTTAATGACCAATCCGAGCTTCAATCAATATGGATTAATTTACAATATTTTTCCATTTTCAACAACATTTGTCAGAATGATTTTCGCTAAAAAATAAAACTCATATGTATAGTAATTTGTTTGCAAGATTCAAAAAGTACGATGAATTATGAAGCTTAGATTATCAATAAATAATGTAGAATAGAATAACGAATTCTAAAGGCGGTATGCATTAACATAATCCAATCACCAACATGCCACATTGAATAATGTGAGCTTTACTTATATCTAAGTGATTAAATTTCATAGATTTTTTCTTTTAATTAAAGTGCTGATGCTGTTTTTTTTTAATAAATGTCAATGTATAATGATTTTATTTATAATTCCTCTTATCTCTTTGCTGTTATATTTATTTTATCAGTATCTCTACTTATCATTGTCATCACGAATGATTTTCGATTATATTATGATTAATGTAACGCATCATTTCAATCTACTATTCAATTATCATTTAGCTATGAGTCAAACATTTCGTATCATAAATTAATAATCTATTCTTTCATAAAATATCTTAACACATGCAATGAAATAAATGATTTATTGACAATGTTTTAGCAGTAAGATTATCAATCAAAATTCAAGAGTACATATTGTGAGAATCAAGAAATATTCATCACCTATTTTTTAGTTTTAATCTTCACATGATTTATCATCTTATGCCATTAATCTGTAGGTACCATAAAGTTTCAAAAAAGAAAATTTTAAATATTAAGTGTTTATCAAAAAGAAACACTATAGCAACAGGAATTTTATTTGCTTATGATAATGATTAGAATAGTTTTATGTATATTCATATTGAGTATTCATTATCTTGAATATTTATGGAAATATTTTGAAGAACCTAGTCTATTTTTAATAATTCGAAAATGTAATAAAGATCTTTTATTATCATCTAATTACAATATTCGATCATTTTTATTCGAACAATTAGAGAAAGTTTTAATTTTATTCTTTAATTCTTCATTCACAACAAAACAACAACAACAAGATTGTCAAGTATACAAAATTAATCTTCATCTTCCTATTCTATTTTTTATATTAAAATGCTTATCTATTTCCTATTATGTTATTCTTCTCTTGAAAATTCTTATTTGGTTCTATGAAAAACAATGTTATTTTATACTTCAAAAACAAATTAAACCATTTGTATACATTCGATCAGTTGCTTTGATTAGTAATAACAAATAATCAAAAACTTTAATTGTGATCGGTTATTAAAAAAAAATACAGTAAAACAAATATCCTCGGATTCAAGAAAACGTAGCTGTAAATGACATAAAATAGCAAAAATAGGCCTCACTACGTCGCCGTTTTCTCTAAACTAGTAGAAAAGTGAAAAAAGTACGAGACACAATGACCGATTAACTAGTAAAAAGAAACCGGTCTAGATCGATCTTTTTAACTGCTGTAAATATCGCCTTAAACGATCCGAAACGAATATAACATGGCGTATTACTTCATTAGTTGTCATTGTAATCTATTACTCAGTTTTTTCGCTAGCAAATCATAATCGTTTTTCGTACTATCTTCGTTGTTTTACGAGTGTACAGAAAACGGCGAAATAAATTGAAAGTTACTGTACTAATGCGACGCTTTCGACGGTTGTGATGATCATCATGAAAAATGAATTCTGAAGTCAAGTATGCAGTTTTTAGTTTCTTAAGATTTTCATTAATGATAATGTCATTGTACTTTTGAGAAAAAAAAATATTAAATTATATTTTTGTTCGAAAAAGACTTTGTTGACCGTATTAGCTATGAATGGGAACCGAAAGCTTCAATAGAATGATTGCTCAACATGAACAAAAGAAAAAGAAGCGCAAGATATTCAGTCTATTGAATCAGACCAGTTATCTGTAGCAATGCAATCCTATATAAAATTCGATCATAGCAATGTCATTAGTAGTTTTCATTCAATTCAATTATTTGTTATCAATGCATACAATCAAACAAATCAATATTCGATGAAAATAAAAACTATCGTAGAAGGCTATCATCGTCGAATTAAGTCAACGTTTTAAAAACACATATACAATGTTATGTGTTGTTATGAAAACTAATCGATCAAGAAAATATGATTCACGTTAACATATTACAAATCAATAGTGAGCAATTACCATTAAAAATAACAATAATCAATGCTTTGAATAACTTTTTTTGAATTTTAACTCTATTTATCATTCTGGTTCACATCGATTAAATCGCTTAGAATATGATTTTCAAGTTCTTTTTCTTTTTCATTACTTGCCTATACTCAATAAATAACATCTATAATGTTTTCTTTTCTTGACACTGAACATTTCACCAATTTTTCGTCAATCATCGTAAATATCAGCATAAATCTTTCATTATTACATATTCCAGTTAGTTTCTGTAACAAATAAAATCTGGTTTTCTTTAGAGTAAAGAAAAAGGTGCTATATTTATTAAATGATCTCAAAACGTCTTTCTTTACAATCATAAATACACTTTATATAAATAGTTAAGATACTTTCTCACTTTCAAACGATGTTTTAAACAAGCTTACACACATACATACAAAGGAAATAAAAGAAGAAAAAAAAAAAAGAATAGTGTACAAAGAGAAATTTCTTGATTTAACGAATTTCATGTTTTTTAGTTGTTGTTTAACATAATCTAACCAAATGTATTTTCACCTCCATATGCAATATATAAAAAGCTATCCTCATCTTTACTTTCAGCATAAATTTGACTCATTGTATAGCTAAAATGAAAAACAATTAATCTCAAAGTTAATAGTATTAAAAAGAAAAATTCAATTACCTTGATGGAGGAATCTTTTGATTGACAAAAAGAAAAATTGCTTTTTCTGGTGCCAATTGAATTCGTTTACGAATAATCCACATAAATTGTGCAATTGTTATATCATTTGGCACTAAGAATTTACGTTTGTCAATGTCAGGTATTTGTGACTTTGGCACACGTTCAACAACAACCTACAAGAAAAATGATAAACAAGATAATTAAAAAAAAAATCAACATACCGGAATACGTTCAGGATATTTAACCCGAATTTTTTCTGCTTCCTGTTTGCGTTGTTCTATAAAATACAAAAATATAATATATTAATTGAATTGGTAAAAAAAAAACCCTAATTTACCAATTGGAGTTTCTTCCTTAAATCGAAATTTCATTGTTTAATATTAAATATCCAATAAATATTAACAAACAGTTTTAATGTAGAAAAGTATATAATCTAAAAAAGTAAATTATGAATCATAATGATCATATGACTTGCAAACTTATACATTGTACTTTCTTCTATTTACTTGGCTGCTTACTTTTATGTTACGAAATATTTTTGCTTTTTCTCACCTACGTATCCACTTCCTGACGAAAGAACGAATAAGGAGTGACTGTGCCGTCGGATCAACATAGGAAGACGATAGAGAGCGCGTACTATATATAAGTGCGGACATGTGTACAGAAAAAAAAGAAGAATGCTAGGTCATATGATGGGGAATCGATCGACCGCCGACTGACCGATTGTCGTATGGACAAGCATTCGTTGAAAGAAAAAAAAAATTAGAGAACGAATCAAAATATCAGCTGATAATAGGCTCTCGAACACAACATATTAGGAATTGTATTGAACGAGTCAAAAAAAGCTTCATAATTATAATTACTCTGTATTTAGACAAAAAAACGAAAAATTGAAAAGATATTAAAAATATAAAGAAAAATATAAACTGCGGAGATTTTATAAGTCATCGATAAAAACAAATATTTCAGATTAACCTCTCCTGATAGACATGCAATAGATGTCATTCTAATTCAGGAGATATAGTCTATTAAACATGCATGAATTCTCTGTAGACTTTGTTAGTTTGAAAATAATAAATCGAATTGATTGTTGTTGATAATAAAATTTTATTAATATTTAATTACGGAATGTCTATAAGAATATTCAAAATACATGTCGATTACTAATGCTTGTTGAGGAGAACATTTATTGAATTTAAGTGCAAATATAATTTAATTCGAAAACTACTAAGAAATACGAGTCAACTGATTGTTCAGAAAGTTTTACTATCACGGAGAGTAAATATCATACATTATCGTTGCAAGCAACACTATCAATCAACAAAGACATCCAAAGTATACTGTTGATTAAGTATGTGACATTTGCCAACTGAACAGCTGAAATATTAAATTTAATACCTAGATCTTTTTTTATCATTTGAACTAATACAAGACCAACTTTATTTCGATGAACTAGAGTGGAATGTTTAACTACTCCAGTTCAGATAGAAAAAGCTTATCAGCAATTGTACGTATACATTAAACAAAATTGATTGATTTGAATCATTTCAATGAATCAGTTGAATCAGATGGATATCTATTGAAGTTGATTTGACTGACTGCAGAGCATTGCGCAGTATAATAAATAAATGTATTTCAAATTCTTATTGAAAAATACCTAAAAATTTACGTTGATAATCAGTGATCATATAAATTTTATTCTTTCTCTGATTCTGAATATTTTTACATTAATGATTCCATCATCTTTTGACTAATACGCGGGCGTCTCGAATATGAATGGTAATCATCTTCTACTAACCATGGCAAAATTGTTTCCTATTTGTTCGACACTACAAAGTTTCTCTTGTTTTTTTTACTAATATCAGGATGTTCTGCCTTTTCGTCATAGTCGATTTTTCTCTAACTTCAGTCGCTTTGGGACACTCTTACTAAATAAAACAACACACGAATTTACAATACTCAAGAGAAGAAAATTTTCTCTCAAGTTTTTTGCGAGACATTGTGATATCGTGTATTTCACTTGCAGCTATAATACTCCAGTATTTTAATTAGTTTGTATTATTATTAATTTGTTTTTGCTATACATATTAATGAATTGTAACACAAATATTTCCACAATTATTAATAATAAGTCCGAACATGTAATAATATCTGATCAATAATTGTTGAATAAATGCTTGTAGGAATATGTTATATTTTAAACTAGAACTGTATTTTCCTTGATTTCTATTATATGATAATTAAGGAAAGTCGATTAAACGAAATAACAATGAGTTGCATAATAAAATTGATGACATATTTAAGATTGGATAATAGAATAAATTTATTAATCAAGAAGAAGATTGTATACACTTGATAATAATAAATTGAATACATTTAGAAGTATCTCGTCGTAGTCTTTCTAACTGTGTAAGGTTTGTTTGATGCGAAGAAAGTGATAGGTATTTTAAACCTTTATTATAATGTAACTAGTCTTTTAACTCGATTGCTATTTTGACCAGCATTAACCTTAAATAATTGATAGATAATATATATTTTGTTTGGAAAGTTTTCGATAGATATTTCAAGGAATTGACAATGAAATCGAATACAGATTTAAGTCTTCTGTACAATGGTTGAGGTCAAATTCTTGATTTATTTATTTATTTTGATCGTAGTAATAGTTTAGGAAAAGAATAGCTTTTGCCAGTTTCATAAGTATACGAGTACAGTTAATTAATACGATTAACTGTTTATGACATATATCATATTCATTTTAGAAGTTTTAAATTTTCTAAATGCGTTCTTCTATTTTCTATTAGACTGATATAAATACTTTTCATCGAAAAAAAGCTTTGATTATACAAAGAGTAGGACACAAAAGATAGCAGTTTTATGATTGACAACGACTTAAACAACAAACAAAAGGTTATATTTACTGATCTTGGCTTCAGCTGTGAGACCATATGTACTATTCATTTAATTAACAGTGGAAGAAAGATTTGCAAAGAAGTCATTATCTCTTTCGTCCATGAGGTTTTTTCACTTAAAAAGTAGAATAATACAACTAAGTATAATTCTAGTTTTCTATGAACATGTAAATTTCATGAATATGAATATATAGATGAAAAATTAAGCATCAAGTATTGTTTGCAAAGTAAAATTAATACAAGCATGGTGTTATGCAATTAGAACGAGTAATTTTTAAGATTTAAAAACTTCCACAATGTGTATCATTATGCTAAAACTATATGAGATATTCAATTTTGAGTACATATCTTCCCAAATAACAAATTTCATCAATTGGAAATAGTTCCATAAGATGGAAAATAACTTTATCATTGCAATAATCTGTCTACTGGATAGTTTTGTGTTTTACTTGCAATATACATATAAAAAGAAACTATATTTTGTAACAACACTTTTAACAAATGAACACTTACTGATTCAAATATAGTAGATAATAAAATTTTTCTCATTAAACACGTATACTCTTATCCAAGACATCATACTCTGAATTTTAATGAAGTATGTATTCATTTCTGTAGCTGATTTAAAAAAACAACTTCAACTTCAAGTATATACATCCTACACAAATCTTTATTATATCACAGTCTTAATTACTATTTTGGTTTTATTTTTCATTGGTCGCAATAATTACAGTCTTTTATAATTATCTTAATTCTTTTCATATTTCATATATAAGCAATTTTGCTTTTGTAGGTTCATGTAACAAAAAATAATTGAATTAATTTTATTTAAATATCTTATGTATAAATATAAATATAATAAACATTATGATAATATTCATGAATCTTGATTAGAAAATGTCTTCGACATAAGAGATTTATACATAACATCAGTACGAACTGTATATTTCCGACCTTGTCTCAATGGTGAACCTTCATAAAGTAAATCGTGTTCAAATACAAGTACCATTCCTGTACGTGGTATACATGAAATATTTTAAGTTGAATCTAAAAAATGAACAGAGGCTGTTTCTCCATCTTGAAAATATTCATTCAAATAAAGTTGTATTGTCTAGAAAATCAAATGCAAAAAAATAATTGAAAATAAAAGGATGGGAGAGCATTAGGATCTATTTTGGTCCACTCATTTTTTTCTTAGCAACAAGCATAAAAGTTATTCGGTTTTGTAGAGCTTGAGCTGATGAATCTAACTGTGTTCATAAACTCTTAAAATTAGAAGTATTTATGCCACCTACAAGCTTGATGATTCTCATAAAATTTCTTCGTGTTGTGAACTAAGAAGACACATGCTTCTTCTGATTTGAAGTTACAAGTCGATGAGCTCACTCATTGTGTGACTAATAGAACATGACTTGAGCTGCATTTTGATACCAAAAATAGATTGAATGATCTTTCGTTGAGCCGAGAATGAGCAGTCAAAATCGATGGAATTTTGAGTATAAGCCGATTTTGAGTACCTTATATCTGAGAAGATAAAAATGAACATCTTGCCAAAATGGTAGTCCTGGCAGACTACATGACGGCCTACGAGACCATATGTAATGAATTGAAGAAAAAATATGGTCACGTGTTCGAAATCGAGACCATCGTGCTCGGATAGGTATAAGTTGTCATTTTTTAACTAAAATTTTATCGATTTTGTCAGATTCATTAGTTTTGTAGTCAAAAAAAAGAAAACAACGCATTTGACATCAACAGCAATAGCTGAACTAATCTCTATGTGGTTCAAATAGTTGCGACAACTATTATTGTCATCGGCAAATCCACTCTCTAGGTCTCGTTAGGATTCAATCAAAAAGTTAAGTCAATCATGACGTCCCTTTAATTGCGTAGTCATCTACTTTTTTGAGCTATCTTATCATGTTACAAGGTTAGAACTTGTTTTACACCATCCAAATGAGATTTTAATTGGCTTCACTTTTTGGTTGAACCCTGAAGGAGAACAAGGATAAATTTTACGGCGAAAATAAAAGTTGTCCGAACAATTTGAAATACATATAGGTTAACTCAGTTATTGATGTTGATTCTACATGTTCTATTTTTTGTTGATTAGAAAAGTAAGGAGTCTGATAAAAATCTGCAAATAAAAGATAAAAATAGCAACTTTTACATATCCGAACAAAATGGTCTCGATTTCGAACATATCTATTGATCACACTATAATGGAGCTCATTGAATGGCAACCCCATTTCAGAAGAAGTACGTGTCTTGTTAGCTTCCAAAACGAAGAAATCTTATGATACTTATCAAGCTTGTAAGTGGCATAAATACTACTAATTTAACACTTCACGGCAATATTTATACACGGTTAGATTCACCATCTAAAATCTTACAAAATCTGGTAAATTTCATGTTTTTTGCTAAGAAAAAAATGAGTGGGCCATACTAGGTCTTTATGCAGTTCATTTATTGTAAACTTACAATATAACTTCGTTCTAATGATCCATCAGTACGATAATATGTAAAAAATTTCAAAACAAAGCATCAAAGTAGAGATTTTCTTACTGAAATGTTTTTCAAATTTCTGTCCTGGATCATAACGAAGAAAATGAAGACGTTGAATAAATCCAGTTAATTGATGGTTTTTGAATACATTTGGTAAACATACTTTAATTCGTTCGAATATTATTTGTGTCATAGTCACACTGTCAATCATTAGAACTTGTTGCTTACCAAGATTAAGTAAAACTGGACAATAACCACATTCTTCTGTCATTTGAATCCATTGTTGGCATTCTTCAGGTGTAAATACATTTAATAACACACCCGATAGTTTGCTATTATCTTTACTATTTGGTAACTATATATCATGTTTCTCGATATTTAAGGGTGTTGTCATAGTTGTATAAATAAAAGAATTAATCTGATTTCTTTCTCCTTTACAGAGTAGAAAAAATGTTCCTTTATATAATGACAAGTGATTGTGCAATAAAAGAAATATGAATATTGAATGGACAAAAATCGACTTCTTTTATTTCTCTACTGTTAACATAGGAAAAAAACAACAAAACATTTTATAAACGTGTTTTATACAATGGATCAGTTATTTTTTTGTTCCATACAGTTAATGGTTTTGTATAATCGACAATATCCGTAACGAAATATCCATATTTATCACAATGACATTCATGTTTTTCATTAACTTTATCATCATTTGAAATAACTCGTCGTAATATATCACCTTCACGTTTAAGTGCAGCCATCATTTCATAAGTTTTTGTTGTACCCGATATAAAATTGATGAAAATATAACTAAAAAAAGTAACAGCTTAATTTATGAATGAAAAATATAAGATCATACATACTGTCCTTCACGATAAATTTGTGCATCATTACCAATCAGACGAATGGGAAGACGACGTAAACCAAGATTTTCAAATGATTTTATAACACCATTATGATCTAAAATGCATGTTGCTGCTGCTTTTATGCCCATCATAAGTTCAGGCTAAAATAAACATAGATATATATATATGTATATGTAAGAAATAATTATCAAATCCATATATACTTTGGGCAAATTTTTAAAAATACATAATAATTGATAATTAGGCATGATGAATGAAAGTAAAAGAGAAATATAGCTCAAAAGAAGATCTAAAGAAAAATCTGATTTATATCAGAATTGTGAACAAGATTTTTATTGGTTAAAGCAATACCATATAGACAAGTATTCTATTTATTAGTGCCCTCTATGTAATAGTTTTTGATTATGTGCGAGATTTATTTATTTTACATAGCTGTTCGCAGCAACAATTTTTATAACATTCATAATTTGCTATTCGACAGGCACTAATAGTGGATTTCATTTCATTTCAACTAATAAATCAAAATTAAATTCGAACTAACAACGTACTCAATGATGTCTCTCTACTAAAGATTAGGACTAAGTTTGTCAGATCATCCGAATTTTCAGGGGTACTTCGCGTTCTTCAGGATTAGGGAAGTCGGCGATTTAGAAGCCCATTCAGAAGATTTTCACTTAAATTCTAAACTCAATTTCAAGCCTGTATTTATCTTTATTAGCCATTTTTGTTCTTCTTCACAAGCAACACAATGATGCACCATTTTCCTGTCATCTATATCTTGATCATCTGTACTTTTTGCAATAAAAAAACTCGCAATCACACTACTATAGAGAAAAAAACCGAAACCTAATAGGCATAGCATCCTGAATGCATTTGTGTATGAAGGTAAGTGATAGGTGTGTTAGTTGCAGTTGTTTTTGTATGAAGCTAAGTTCCTTCAGTTTATCAAGTCGTACTACTTTATTAGCACTGTTTTCGGAGAAAATAGTGAAACATATTCCGATTTACGTCATTGACTTTCATCATACTACTATCTTAGAAAGACTACAAGGCATTTCTTCTCGGTGAGAGCTGAGAAGCAGATGTCTAGCTGATTTCGTGTCTGTTTTTATCGAAGAAAACTCAGAAGTATTTGATGCATATTAATAGCTACTCTATACTATTGAAATTGGATGGGTTGGTCATGATTCCATTTCTCTTCTTCTTTCAATCTTACTTATTGACATATGCGTCATTGTTGAGTTTTAGATTTAGATGTTTAAAATGCAATCTTGTATGTATAGGTAACAATCCTTATTTCACCAAAAAGGTTTCTCAATATGCCAAACTTCTTGCATTTCCTATCAAATTCATGCTTAAATGATACGCTTTTTTACAAATATGAAAACCAGACATCCATGAGTCAAATATATTCTGTTGACAGCTAGCAATGCCTTGTTCTTCTAATCAGGCTTTCGTTTATTACCGTCAACGGCTTTACATTAAGTAAATATCTCTTTGCTATTCTACGTTCAAACTCTATTCATACTACATAATATACCGTTCTGTAGGCAAACTCATCTAGTCGTCTTTCCAAACTTTATGATAATCATATATTAATATAAGGAAAATCGTCTGATTATTTTCATTCTAATCAAATAAAATAATTTTTTCGATCGTCTGATGAAATTTGATTATCGAATCCTTCGTTCTAAGTATGCTTTAGAAATGAAAAAACCTACACTTTCATGAATAATAAAGAAAACAAGGTCTATGTCAATGTTTATGACTCTTTTTAAATATATCATATTTCAATAAGCACATAATAAAAGAGAAATAGAAAAAAATCTCATGGTCAATACCAATTGATTTAGAATATATACCAGTATTCATATCAGTATGAACAAATAAAGCAAAAAAGAAACACTTGTTTGATGAAAAAGATGATCAGTGATTGATGACCAAGAGCATAGTAGTTGAAAACCGTTAGATGTCACAGAAACATCATCAATCAAAAGATGATTGATTTTTCTAAGTAACAACACTACAAATGAAAACAAAGTTGAGAACGTTACTACTCTGCAAACTGTTCTCTTCTTTGCTGTCATCGTGGCAACTGATATATTTTTTATGCATGTCATTCGCTTGTACATGACACTCTACAGAATTTAGATGAGCGGATCTTTTCGAAATATTTTTGAAAACCAACATAACTTGAAAATTTTCGTTACAAAAGCTAAGAATGCTACAAATTAATTCCAATAAACATTCAGATTTCTAGACGTATTTCATCTTCTATCTCCTGCTTTCCCGAATATTCTTTATGACTATCACCTATACCATTTTGTTCGATCAATGCCTCTATTGTAAGTCCATGAAAATTAGAGATACACATTTTTGGTTTATTACCTTGGATTTGGCTCTCTTTTTGATGCTCTCAGTCACGTATCAGGATTGCTGCTAAAACCTATTGATATTGTTATGCCCACATCATGCAAGAACTAGAACTTTTCCGATGTTTATTGAATCTCAGTGAATCTACTGATTCTACTGCAGGGCAAATGTCAAAAAAATTAATCTTTATCTCACATTATTGTATATTTTTAAACCAAAGCCTTTTTACTAAATTGTATAACTTGAAGGTACAAAAACAAATATGATAAATCAATAAATAAGACGAAGTTAGTTTTTTTTCTCAAACAAAAAAAAAACAGAATTTCGTATTCAATTGAAACTGTTTCTTTTCAATAGTACTGCTAATAATACTCTAACACATGACTACAACAATATTTTCTTTATTACATTACGAATAATATCACTTCAACTTTAGCCACTGAATTCTTAAAACAATACACAAACTTGTAATAAATTTTATTACAATATATGCATTGTTGATTTGAAACATAAGCAATTAATGGGTATGAAAATTATGAAAGATAAAACTGACTTGCAAATAAAAAACATGCAAAAATGAATAATTAGATAAAACAAAAGAATGCATTTATTTAATGGTACGCTATAACAAAAAGTAAAATTTATAATTGAATACATAGTGACACATGATAAGTTCGTTCTGATATTTTTAAAGTCAATATAATTTGATATTTTTTTTTGCTCTTCTACTTTTATGAAAAATTTTAATTTTTTTTTGAGCATAACGAAGAGCTATCTTACTGACAAATAGGAGTTCGAAAAATTCTTTAGATTCATTCATGAAGATAATAATTAGTGTACTATTTATATACAAAAAAAAAACAGAACTCAGAATAGAAAGTAAATGATCAATTAAACCTCATTATGTTAATATTAACAATAGTAAAAAAAGCTCTGTTATTAACACAGATACATAATTATAAGAATAGTAATACTAATTATTCTTATACTAGTATTAGATTTACTTTTTTGTATTATTTTAAGTGAAGGACAACATTTGTTTATTGTTTGATATTATTTACCTTATCAAATCATTTATTATGAAAATTTTTTCTTAAAGAAATATGATAGACTATTTTCAATATTCAATGGTTCTAGCTAACATCTTATTCACATCGGTTGAATAATTAATGTTCATATGCTATTAGTATTATCAACACGCCTAATGTTTCAATAGAAGATATGTCAATACAAATTACTTGATTACATTTATCTGATTTTCGGCAAGAGATGTATGAGTGTTACTATACTTATCACTGATGACACTAACACTGATACATTAACAATAATATTTATTGGCTCAAATTCACTTACAGAATCAACTATATATATGGACCCTAAGCAACTTTCTAGGGGCTATTCTCTTTAGATTTTTATTTTTCTTGACCGAACAAGCAAACCTCTTTTTTTACATATACTTCAATGGAAATTCTTGTCTGAAAAAAATATATTGACTCTCTAACACGAGTCTTTAAGATCAAGTATTGACTGATGAGACAAGAAATGTCTTAGTCCATAAAAGTGAACTATCATTTGAAAATAGACTGAAACCGATATTCGGCTTTGAATCAAAGACCATGATTTGCATTGAACTAAAGCCGTTATTGCGATTTATAACTGATGCTAACTTATGAGATTGGTATCAGTTCAAGAATAAAATATTTGAACAAATGGGGCTTCATTTTCAACAACATTTTTTATTCTAATACAATCAATATGTAGTACAAAGCTAGTAGGATTTAGAAACTTCAACAAACTTTTTCAACATTACCCTTTTTCTAAATAATTTTCATTTTAAATTGTAGAACTGTTAATATTATATTAATTGATTGTGCTACATCCATAGTAGTTTTTTATTCGAAGGCTCTACCATTGTAATCAGACATGTAGATATTTTGATACTTTATAACACAATAAACAAGATTTATTTTAATTTAAATAATAAGCATTTTACAAGTGTACGAACAGTAAACATATAAGATAATGAAATTGCTTTAGTATTAAATGATTATCTTTCGAGTAACACTATTATTGCTGTGTTGAAGCATGATGTATAACAGGAATTTGTGGATACTTCTGCAAAACTGTTATTTGATTCGTTCTAACATGAAACATGCGAACATGATTTCGATAGTGAGGCAAGCAACCAACGACAATTTTGATAACTTCCTTGCGAAAAACATCACCAGTTAATGTATATAAATAGAAGCTACTTGTATGAGCGAAATATGCTATTGTATTGACCGTTTGAGAAATCAAATTTTCTTGAGCAATTCGAAGTGAGTTTCTTGGCATATTTGAAGTGAATGATGCGTATAGACGATAGATAGAATGTGGTAAAGTAGAAATAATAATGATAAGCATTTGAGCAGCTAACATGCGCAAGAGATGAGTATCTGTACGTCTAATAAACCGATTACCTTCACCAACCAATGAGAGAACTCGACGTCGCTGACGAATATTGTTAAGTGTAAGAGAACCAAATAAAAGCATGAGAATACATGGACAAAGTGAGTAAAAAACCATATGCCAAAATGCAATAAACGTGCGATAGATTCCCTTTTGGCCATTGCACGATGGAACAATTTTACCAAATTGATCGGCTGCATAGCTTATTTCATAGTAAACGAGCATGTGACTATAGAAGATGAACATTGCAATGATAGTGATTCCAATAAGTACTCGTGCTGTTTTCACTGAACTCATTCGACGAATGTGCACGTTTGCTGAACTATGAAGATAGCGATCGACACATGCAAATGCAATTAACCAACACGATATGGCGTGTACTGTATAGAAGCTATAATGTTCGATTTTGCATATAGCAAGATTGTTAAAAGCCATATCTATAGCAAAACCATTGCTGAGTATGCGTACAGGCAACACAATAAATTCAACAAATAAATTAAAACATGTTGATGAGAAAAAGTAAAGTGCACATGGTTCGCGACGCAGTGTTGGTCGAGTAAAAACAAGTACGTTAAAGATAAGTCCAACTACACCTGGTACAAAACTGATAAGAGGTATTACAAGTACAACTATCCATGCTGCAGTATTCAGTTCATTGATCGCAACATCAATGGACGACATAGAATTATTCTTAGAACTATTTTTGTAGTGTATGTACGTGGTTAAAATCTAATAAATAGACAAGATTAACGATTCTCTTTGTTTTACAGTGTAACTGTGTGTATGTTTTTGTTGTGATACCTGTAGTAAAAATGATCAAGTCAATATCTCACTTGTGTTTAATTTTAGTATATTCGAGACGACATCCTTTTATTATGAATCATGCAAATAGGTCAAGGCATTTTAAAAAGAAACTACTATGTAGCAGCGAAGATTTGCATTAACAATACTAGTCTGTCATTTCCAATTAAGCAAAGATCGAAAAACAAGTTACAAAAAGGGTGAAATTAATTTTAATTCTACATTATGAAATAGTCAAGACTTAGCTTCATCGCAATCATCATGTTTACATCAAACTATATTTCTATGCGCAGATAAAACAACAATGATTTTTGACTTGTTCTTCAGAGATAAGAAGACTTGAATGATGCTCTAATACTTTTACAGCTGTCAACTTCGAGTTATATCATGGAAAAAATAGATCTAATAGAATTGAGAAATATACTTACATGAAAAACGTCATTTCAAACAATCTTCTGATTAGAGAAAAGAACCTACAATATCTGATAATCAAACAAATTTATTTTTGAGACATGTTCAGGAAAGAACTCCATAGTACAATAGGCAACAACAGCTAATGAAGAAAAAATGAAGCTATATTTGTTCAGAAATAATCTTTATCATGATTTATATGAGCGTGAAACACATGTATAGCAGTGAATTAAAAGTTATACAAAATATATTTTTGTCATGTTAGGGGTGACTATCTAATCAAACATAAATGCTATTCAAATATAAAAGAACGTAAAATGAAATTATACGTCTATATTTAATATTCTTTATTATAAAGAGCTTTAGTTGAATGAACTTACATGATCTGTCCTAACCATTAATATGTCGAAAAAATTTTCTTGCACATATTACAGAAAAAAAAAATGAAAATAAAAGGAGAAGAGGAAAAAGATAAATTTCACAAATTATAGGAGACAAAAAATATATCAAAATGAGTAATGAGAGATAATAATGTGTTTTTGATTCGGTTATTTAACTGGATGAACATTGATTAACAAAATGTAATAGTTTGGTTTGTCAAAGAAAGTAGGAGAGTTTTGATAGAAACTGCTCACGTTTATGCTAGATCATCCTGTCTAAAATAATCAAATATAAGCGTTTTCCAAATAGTGGTGATGTGTGTTGCTGATAATGCTTTTATTTTCTGGAAAGAACAAAGAATCATGCAAGAAAAGAATAAATTTGCTTACTTTTATGTTTGCTTGTGCATGTAAGTGATGTATACACATGTACGTTTTTGTGAGGATATTGAGCAGCTGTTCGAAATGAGTTTTTTTCATTCTGACGGTTTAGTCAATCAGACAATTTTGTTATCTGCGTGCCATTGAGTCAAGTGGTTTCACTATCTGTGGTCCAATTCAAAATAAATAAGGAGTTGTCATGTTTTGAATAATTTTTAATAGAAACAAGATAGAAATTTTCAATTTTCATTCCTTGAGAGACCAGTTTCCGAACAACAATTGATTATTAGATTCAAGTTACCAATAAGACATTTAGGTACTATGCATTGCTCAGACTATTCTGAATTGAGATCAGTTTTAAAACTTTCATTAAATACTTTTGTTTTATAAACTAGTTAGATTATTCAAAGTAACCTCTATTAAGCCATACAAGGCGCATCCTCTGAAAAATTTTAGAGACTAAAATCGATTATGGTTTGGATTTTGTTTCAAAAGAGTCATAGTGAAAATTCTCATATATTTCATTTCTGTTTGGTTTTGATTGACTTTCTTACACTGTTGTACTATTTTGAAAACAGTAAGATCAAATAAAACTAAATAGAGCCCTTTATCTTGCAAGAAGAGGTGAAAAAAAAACAATCAAAATAAGATTTTTTTGCTTTTTTTTTTGCAAATAGTAATTATCTATTTCAATTTTGTCGCATCGAAATTGACTGTCGTCACTCTCTTATTACTTGTTACTTTGTTGCAACGTATTATTACTTATTAATCTACTTCAATCTATTATGACCTATTAATCAATTTGTTTTAATTTATTATTACCTTTTAATCAATTTCAATCTATTGGAGCTTCTTAATTGATTTCAATCTGTTATTAATGGTTAACCGATATTACTCATCTGCGTAGAAGATTAGTGCTTTTCTCGGTGTTCAAATGTGAAACCTAATTTTACATATTTTTTTTGTTTGATTGCTCGTGCTTAGGAACCATGAAGGTGACACTAAGCTGACTCTGGCAAATGAAATAAATTTCGAACTACTATATAAATTGTTTCAAATTGAGATGGTGAAATTAACTCAATAACCGAATAAAACTTGATTAAAATTAAATAAAAACATTTAATTGGATATTAATCAATTCTATGCATATTTTTGTCTTTTTCTATATAATACTCCTGTGTGTATGAAGCACTTTTGTAATTAGTCTCCTCACAGTTTGTACTTATTTCATATGTGCCTCTCACGTAGGAATATATTCAATTATGCGTCATAAGTACTTTTTGAACTCAATCAAACATAATTCTTGTTTTGAACGTACTTTCTATGCATTAAAAACAATTTAAATCGAATTATTTTATCTGAATTATGTTTTGAAAAGAGCCCTTATAGTGTAATATACTAGCAATTAATATTCCAACGCAAATACGTCGTATTAGTATAAATCAAGTTGTTCTATACAGACATTACTGATATTCTCCATCATTTACATAATCGATTGAACAGATTAAAATTGATAAATGATTAAAAGAAAATTATGAGTGAGATAACCACGGATGATCAGAATAATAAATTGTTTTTTCAATCGGTTGCTATCAGATAATTCTGAAAAATGTCGAATTCTATAAGAGAAAAGAGATTTGTAAATCAATAGTCAAAAATAATTCCGATTTTCTTCAGTATTTTTTTTTAATGAGCAAGTTTCTATCTTGTATTGTTTAGATACTGAATCAATTTTACTTGAATAAATTGAATGACCTTAGGACATAATAGGATTTTCTTTCAAGCATCAGAAATATATGAAAAAAAGCATTATTCATCCAGCTGAACTTTATCATCTATAGTTGTAACTGCCTAAGAGATATATTTCAGGTGCAAGCACAGAGTACAATATTCTGTTAGAGACAATAAATTGTGATGATATTGAAATTTTACAAGAAACATACCATTCTGTTAATGACAACTATCTGTAATCACATGACGAAAACACATCAATTATGCACACCATCATCGTATCTGTAATGAATCATTTACATATGTAAAGTGAACACCGAAGAAACATGTGTATATCAGTGTCACATGACTCAAGCGAATTGGCAATGATTTAAACATAGATATACTGAGAATAAATATATACTCCTATTACTTCACCGCTTTCAAGAAGATATGCTAAGAAAGACAAGATAATTTACGACTCTCTAACGTTGAAAGCCATCATTAATAGAGTAGCATGTTTTTCGTAAAATCTCAACTTTGTTATAATTTATGGTCTTTACTTGAATATTGTACTCTTTGATTCCATGAGAAATATATTTGTTTGGCAGATAAAATTATATTCGATGATGTTCAGTCTGATTAATAATGCATTTTTCCATATATTTTAATTGCCTGAAGAAAAACAATATTGCTTCCAATGGCCATTCAACTACGTTAGTAAAATTAATTTCCCCATCTAAGTGATACAATAAGGAAAATTGAGGCTTGAGTGATTTCATAAAAAATACATTGAGTTTTCTAATCAACTTATAAACAACGATATTCAATTTAATTTCTAAAAATGAAATGAATTTAGAAAAGTCGGAGTAATGTTTGATACCTATATGTCTCATTGTTCCTATCAAAGATTCTTCAAAGCATGACAACTAGCTTTTTATTTTGAACCGAACAATAGTTTTACTTGTAAATAATACACATAAACTATGAAAAGTTATTAATACTCGAATATTATATAGTTAATCTTTGTATAGCTTGTTATAGAATTATTTCTATGATATCATATTGCTTTTGTACACATAATATTGGACGATACTGTCAATGTGCTGTCGGTGACTGAGTTCCTCCAGAAAATGTTTGAGTCCATCCTCATATTTTTTGAATTTTACTATATGTTTACCATGTTTCTAAATCAAGATGTGGAAACTATTATATAGTATCTGCTTTCGAAGGAAAAATAATTAAACTGAAGACACATGTACATCAAATAAGAAAAACGTGTGTTTGAAAATTAATTATGTTTTTCTACTTTTCACAAAATAAAAGGTACACTGAGTGCTTCCATAACTGTCATCAAAGGTATACATGATACATGTAGAGCGGGACGATTCACTAATATTCAAGTCAACACCAAAAGAACCGTATCTGATCGAAATTTTCCATTCGTTTGGGTGCAACGAATATCGAATATAATTTTTACTCAAAATCAAATTTGTATAAAAGATAAGAAAGGAATCAAATTTCCAAATGAAAAATCTTAGCTAACTCAATGTGATTTTTTTTCTAAACATTCTGTGGTTTCCATAATTTGTTTTTACTATAAATAGTACGAAGCATTCTAACCAAATCTTTTTACGATTTGATTAAAATGCTACGTAGTATTTATCAGAGCTGGATACAGAATAGGACGGCTCCACTATCCTGGTGTCCTACTTCCATCTCTATTTTGTATATTTTTTTTTGTCTTTGTGCCATTTTTATTTTCAAGTAGTTGTTCATTGTTCTATTTTTTTTTTTGTTAACAGAATCTATTATATGTTAAGATAATTATGATAAAATCGCCCAAATTTACGTTTATTTACAGTTGTTTCCTATGATGAATATGTCATTAAAATAATAAACCAAGATATGTTTATACTTTCTTATATTTATAATATTAGTCGTCATTGAAAACATTAGTTGATATATTGGACAATTATATGAAGTAAAATAGCTATA